CCCAAATCCTACCAGCTGGTGGACCCGTGTCGGCAGAAGTTTGGGAGCTCGTTTCACATCAGCCATGGAAGCCTTTGTGGCTATCATTGTGTGTTCGCTGCACTTGTTCGGGGTGCCGTTTCTCCGGTGGTGCCCTGCTGTCAGTTTCAGGCGCCCAGATTTGCCGTCAATCTTATATACTTTGACTACTTGCCAGCTAAGGGCTTGGAAACTCTGATCTGACTACGCTGTGACGGCGGCTCTACATGGTAGGCTCCGCGGACTGACCCGAGCCAGTTTTTCTCATCTACCTGGTGTCCCATCATCGGCTTGGCTCTGGGATGGCATGTGCTTGATAGCCCCCAAGGGCGGAAAGAGATGGGACCAGACACTGCTCCACCCAGCTTCGTGACCTGCGGCCGTAATGGAATGAATCTCCTGTCCTGGTTTGGATCATGGCTGTTATCGAGCAGCTTTGGATGACTCGGCTGACGGGTAGCCTGGCAACAGTGCTTGAGCTTGGATGATTTTGGATGGCCGGCCGAGCGCGAGGCCAACAAAACAGGTGTTCTGGTCTTCTTGAACCTCAGGAGAGTTTGGGCTTAGCCATACCCATTGTCTGTCATTCAGCTGGCCGAGCCAGCTTCTCGAGCAACGCTGGATGGAAAGAGATGGGATTGGACACCGCTTCGCCGGGCTACTGGCTTCCATTCCTACATGGAGCCTTTAACTGCGACCTTGTTGTGGTGTGTTCGCAGTTCACAGCACGAAAGATCTGGAAGGACTGAGTCGACAGGGCTGGTGGCCTGACGCCCACCTGGTGCATCGTTGTTGTGGATGGGCCACTCAGCTCTTCTTGGTGTGAGACCTGAGCCTCCGGGCTGCGCCATCAAGGCGTTTTTCCCGTTTTTGTTCGCTAAGCGAATGTGCTTGTCAGCACCCGCCTGACAAACAAAACTGTGTACCTCACCGTGGCTCTTTGGGCTACGGCTCTTGCCACAAGAGGCTGCAATACGGCTTTTGTAATGTCAAAGACCCATTACAATCCACACTAGTTAGGACACCTCGGGCCCATGCCTGTGGAGTACTTCCGATGGCGGGTGGATGGACGCCACCCACCCCTCCTCGTTGCTGCACGAAGCAGCTGGACCCGAACAGTGGCGCGCCGCACTGCTCACGCCGTGCGACCACGGATGCCATTTCACCCGAAAAAACACAGGGTTTCGCGCCCGAGAATGTTTTCAAGCCGGAATTTACGCGTGACCTGATGCTGATGTGGTTGACATCATGATGATGTGGTTGCCATGATGGTGAGAAAGCTGGCCGTGACAATCGTCCGTAACTCGGAAGTTTCCTAACTAAACTTCGTTTGATCATGTATTTGTTTTTTTTGAAATTCAATGGCAATGGTAATGGTGTCAGAAATGTTCCTTGGAGGTCAAAATCAGTCCTCCGGTCCCTGGGCAGAAGCTTTCAACACACTTCACTCGAGATCAGTTTGGAGATGTGGCTATGTCTCAAAATCAAAGTTTGATAAATTTTGAATTTGTGCCGAATGCTAACATGCTGGATGTTTGATATGCTGTTCCATACTCATGCTCCTTGTGGATTCCGCAGCCAGGGCCGCATCAGGCTGTGCTAAGGGTGCACTTGAAGTCTTACACTTTCATCCCCCATAAATGGACATCTAAATGGGAGAATCAGCAAACTATAGCTGGGGTAATGCGGGATTTTCCAACCATGTGACTGTTACCTGTGAGTCTCTGCAGCCCGGCCTCATCTGAGATGCCACTGGCAGTGCTGCAGGTGCTGGTGCTGAAGAAGACCTGCTGGGCCACGCTGGACACCCCCCTCAAAAATTGATAATTATAATCATTGGGATTTTTGAATATTTGAAACATGTTGAAACCACCAACCAGATTAGCATTATCTACTGGATCAATGGTTAACATTATCTAACGAATCAAGGGGGTGAAGTAAATCCAGTTGCAATTAGGAGGCAGCGCCCATCGTCATCAAAAGAATGTCATGAGGTTGATCCAAGGTAAAATCAGGAAATCTATGGGCTTTTGAATCTACCATTGCAAATGTAAAGAAACACACGGGGTGTCAAGTCATTGGGGTACCCTAAAAATGAGCTGGTCTGGTTAACAATGACCAGCATGTGATGATCACAAGGCCTGAGCCATGGCCTGCACAACTGTCAATGGATTCTGCATAGTGAAAAGGCTTGGGAACAATACGTGAACTCAGCGTGAACTCAGCTACCAGGGTTGTTGATTTTACACCAAAAACAATTCCACTACCTTTTGATCCTGGATCCTTCTGGTAGCTTGCTTTTCTCCATCATTGGTCACTTGGGTGCAGTGGTTGGTCTGCGAGGGCCCACAGATTGGACATGTTTTCTCAGTATCATAGAGATGGAAAAATCAAAACCTGTTTGAATCCATGAGAAAACCATTCTCGGTTGCATCACCAAATACTCCCGGCTATTTAAAACCCACATGTCTCTAGGATACGGTGCTCGCTCAATGGAGGCGTTCAGTCCCTTAAACCAATTCCCGGAAAGTCCACTAGGAAGATAGGATAGGACTCAGCAGCAATTTTGGGGCCATCCCAAGCTGTCCCATTTCCCCATCGCTCGTTTTGCACCTTGGACATTCGTTTTCCCAGCATTGCCCTGAGCTACGGCTGGTAGGAAGATCGAAACAAAGGGGTGGTAAAAAAAAAGGTGGGTGGTAGCAAAACTCTGAGACTACAAAGGGGTGGAGTTTCAGCGACTTGGGGGGATAGCTCATCTATTTCAGGATGGCTATGATTGTTGGTTAAAGGTTAAAATTCTACAAATCGATCTAGGCCTCCACTACCAGCTTTGCATGCCCAGGTCTTGTTGTCTTTTATGCTCTATGTTGGTTGCATTTTGAACATACATCTGAGTCATCTGAGCTCATCTGCTGCTTTAAACCCATGTTTACCACAGCCGGCTTCACCGATGTCCAACACGTCTGCTTCGAGGTGCAAGGCGGACTTCTGGGTGATCTCGCTGGGTTGGTCGAACCTGGGCCATGACAATAGGGAAAATGATGGCCATTAAACTACTGGGCAAATTTGAGGGTACTGTAATTGAGTCTGGGCCTTTGTATTTTGTGGTTCACGGACGCCAGGCACAAGCCTATGCCACCACAATGACAGCTCCAAAATACCTACGCGGAGCCCACGCCAAGCCTACACGATCCAGGTAAAAACCTACCCGGAGCAAAGCACAGTTCAAGTGTTGTATAAATCCTGTCATGTGATTGAAAAAAAACCTGCTAAATTGCATGCTGTGCGTGTGCGTGCGTGTGGTCAGTGGGAAAAAAAAAGCGACCTAGACATCAAGACACCGCAAGACTCTTGCCGACAAAATGTGCCTTTCCAAAGGCCAGCTATCATTGCAAGTTTGTGAGCTGAGGTTTCCCACTGGGCTTTGAAAAAAAAACAAAATGCAAAGGCATTTAACTGAGCCTAAGCCGCGGGCCACCAACGGGGGCACCTTAGTGTGGGAAAACTAACGCCGTTGGCAATTGTTTTCCCTGTGAAAATGGCAAGTTTGAGGTTTCCATGTTACATATCAGGGAGAGAACGGTATCCCATGATTCATGTCTGATGTCTAGATTCATCCATGGGCAATTAGCCTACTCAAACACTCTAGGCCAGCTCATCATCACCCCCAACTTCTCAGAAGTGGGCATTTCTGAAAATTTAGGGAAAACCCTCCAAATCCACTGGTTGAAAACCTCATTAGATGTAAACGCTCATTTTCCCATATTTTCCCCGTGAAAATGGCCAGAAATTGGTTTCTCTGAAACTTTGAGGTGAACACCTCCAAATCCCATAGGTCAAAAGTGGTTAACCTCATTTTCCAATGGGTTCCCATAAGTTTCCCATGGGTTTCCCTATTCAAAGTGCCGTGTTGTTTTGCAACCAAGATGCCATGGCAGCACGTGTTCGATCCACAGCTCCATGGGCAACAAGCCGCTGCCTTAGATCAGCGGTGAAGGAAACGCTGGGATTCAATGGATTCAAGTTGAAGCAGCGAAAACTGGGTTTCAACTATTTGGCGGTTTCCTGAAATAGGGCTACCCCTAAATCATCCGTTTTTTTCGGATTTTCCATTCTAAACCATCCATTCGGGGGTACCCCCATTTATGGAAACCCCTATTTCAATGTCGGAAAGACGGAAAGATTGGGAACTTAGTAACAGTTGAGTCTCAGAGTTGAGACACTTGACCAGCAAAAAATCAGGAAAAATATGGAGAAATTAGCAACAAACAATGGGATCCAAAATGAAGATGGGATGCTTGAACACTCAAGTGACCAGCCAATATGTCAGTAGGCCATCTGCAGGTTGTGTCCAGGTTTCCAACTGTTCTTGCTTCTCAACAACGCCGCTGTAATGCACCTGCCAGGGCTGCTACGTCAGCTAGGATCTTCTATGATCGATCTTCTCATGGAGGGATCCCGGGATCCTCCCATTCGCCTGAAGCTGTGGGGGTAGGCCCAGTTCCTCTCCACCGTCCATGGTTTCTGCCGCAAGGCAAATGCGAAGGGCCTGGCTAGCACCCAGGTGACCATTGCCATGTTGGTTTGCCAGAGGGTGCCGGTGTCCAAGTACCAAAAAATCCAGGGATCTTAGAATCTTAGACTTGGTTCCAACAAACACTGGAGAGAAGAAACGAACCTACCGGTTTCCGATCAACACTGTTGAGTCAGCCATCAAGTCAATGCTGAACACCCGCTGGGAAACTTTGGGTGATGAAAGGTGCAAATGCTCCATTGAATTTTCACTTGTTTGCATCACATTGCATCTTTTCACTTTGCTGCAACCGCAGCTACCCTTTTCGAGATCAAACCACCTGGCGCAGGAAAAATCCAGGTGCTGTCCGCTGCTGTTGAGGTAGCACAAATCGAGAAGTGTAACCTGAGGTAAGAGGTGAGAAGGTACCTGCGCATCTGCAGGTTATGAGCCCAAGCGGTTCAAGATGAGTACTCAGATGAGAAGAAGACGAGCTACGCCTGAGGAGCTTGCTCAGGGCGAAGCAGAGATGAGAAGTGCGCAGGAAAGAATGGCAACTGAGGCCTTAGAAAGAGGTGAGGTTCCCATAGAAGATGTCAAGGAGAAACAAGGGGAAGAGGCAAAGGTTTCTAAGTCTCGTCAGACTCCAAAGGGAAGTGAAGATAGAGATAGGAAATCTAGTCAGCCCTCACCGGCAGTGATGCCTGCTGGTTCACCGAAGTCCTTGTGTCGTCCTAGCCAACCACCTGTCAACCCTCCTGAGGAGTTTGTGCAGGCTGAGATGAAAACCCCGGTTCCTAAGGAAACTCAGGTGCCACGAGCTTTGCAAGATGATGGTTCTGGACATCACCCTCGAGGTTCCTTGGAAGATCCAATCAGGGAAGATGTGGTGTCTGAAGTTTTGAGATCAGCTAGCCCAAATGGACCAAACGTCACACCCGGTCCAACACCACCTGTCAGTGTGCAAACCCCATTGTTCACCGATGAGCAAGTTGCCCAGTTGTTGAGACTGCACAACCAAGCTCCTTGGCTCTATGGTGGCATGACCATGGGAATCACACCACAGGTGACACGTCCTGCATTTCTGCCGACAGAAGAAGATGTAGGATCACAGTTTGTGAGAAGTAGGCAGTTTCAAGAACGAATGGAAGCTGAAGAAATCAGAAGGAATATGGAGATGGTTTTAGAAGAGAACAGGCTGTTGAAAGGTAGGCTAGCTCAGTTGGAATCGAAAGTTTTGGATGAGCCACGTTTTTCAACCCCTGAAAGTCAGAAGGGTGTCGATGAAGTGCAGCCACCAAGAAAGGAGGCTGCAGACCCCCATTTGTCAGGTCAACCACAGAAAGGTTTCAAGGAGGCTGAGACCCCCACGAAAGCGCAGGAGGACGGGCCCAGAGGCCAGAAAGGCTTCAAGGAGGCTGAGACCCCACGAAAGCGCAGGAGGATGGGCCCAGAGGCCAGCAAGGGTTCAAGGAGGCTGAGACCACCACAGAAGCTGAGGACGGGCCCAGAGGCCAACAAGAAAAAGCGTATGGAACCGATCCCATAGCCCAAAAGAACATGGAGTTCATGGTGTTGATGGTTGAAACTATGAGGGAGCTTCAAAAGAAGGTACAGGAGGGAAGGGAAGACGCTGGAACGGTGAAAGGCGTTGAAGTCATTCGTCATGGAGGCCCAGATCTCCCACTACTTCCTGCCTGGAATCCTTCGCAGGGACCGTTGCAGCTGGGGGACTGGCTGTTGCTGTTGCGACCAGTGGTGTCTGATCTCACCACAACAAGTGAGGAGTGGTGGCAACTTATGACCAAGTCAACAGAAGAATGGTATGAACAGCACATGGCTATGAACCCCATTCAACGACTTCAACATGCTGCAACGCCTCCGTCATCTTTGCAGCAAGAACGATGGCAGAGACTTGAACGGAGGATGTCGTCCATGCTGTTGCAAAGTGTCACAGACAATGTTAGAGAAGAGCTGATTGCATCGAGGAGGCTGGACGTTTTTGGAGTCCTAACCCATCTCTACCTCGTCTACTGCCCTGGAGGAGTCATGGAGAAACAAACTCTGCTGAAAAGTCTTGAGGAGCAGAGGTCACTGTGTTGAGCGAGGCGCCAAATGCCTTGAGACGATGGATGAGGTGGAGATCAAGGACGCAGGAGATTGGGGCCATAGCTCCAGACCCAGCCCTTCTCCTGAAGGGCCTGAACAGAATGACCAGGCGAGTTTTGGATGCTCACAAAGATCTTCAATTTAGAGTGTCCCTTGCAAGATCGACCTTGGGGGTAGACACAACCCCTACAGAGACCAATGTTGGCCAATTAGCCACGCACTTGTTGGCGGAGTTCGAACAAGCATCGCTGACAGAGAAGAAGGCAGGAACAGGCAACAACAGAAGCGAAGCAGTGAAGCTGAAGAGTCTGGAGGCTGAGAAAGGCGAGAAAGGCAAAGGGAAAGGAAAAGACAGGTCAGAGAGGTCACACGAGGAGGAGTCAGGAAAGGCCAAATGTCGTTTCTTTCTCACAGATCAAGGGTGTAGGAAAGGGCGAGAGTGCTCCTTCTCCCATGAACTCAAAGATGAGAAGAAGCGGTGCTACGTCTGCGGCAGTCCAGAGCACTTTGCACCGTCATGCTCAATACCTAAGACCCCTGCAAATGGAAGTGAAGGAAGCCCCCCGAAGCCGCGACAGATGAAGGTTGAAGTGGAGGGAAAGAGCAGTGCCAAGGATTCGGACTCGTCCTCAGTCTCCAGTCAGGAGTCAGCCATGAAAGACCTGATCGATGAGGCCAACAAAGTTCTGAAGCCCTTGAATCCAACATCGAGCACTACGACTTCCATGCCGGTGAGCGCACCGACAACAAAAGAAGCTGACGTCAGAAGCGAGGTGATGGATCGTCTTCAGCAACAACTTGAAGCTATGAGATTGAAGCCATTGCGACTTCAGAGCATGTCGTCAAACTCGGTCTTGGGTCTGATCGACTCAGGAGCTACACATCCACTGAGGCCTCTGAGAGACAGCGAAAATGATGAGAACTATGCCATGGTTGAAGTTGCACTGGCTGATGGTGCAACTACAAGACTGAAGATGAGCCCAGGGGGAGCTATGATTTCTCCCAACAGTCGAGTGCCTATGGGACTTCTGGCAGAAGTCCTCAACTGCACCATTGACTGGAAGGGAGGAAGCCTTCAAGTCCACCACCCTCAACGAGGAGCACTGCCTGTTGTGAGCTCGGAGCGATGCCCTCAAATTCCGAGACAGTTGGCGCTGGAGCTCATCAGAGAAATGGAGGATGTCAAAATGGGTATCCCTCAACAAGTTCAAGGTTTTGAGGCTGAGGTGACATGGATGAAGTCATTGATCGAAAGCCATCCTGTTTTGGCTTCTCTTCCAGGCTGGGTGAAAGAGCGACTTGTAGTATCGCCAGGAGAATGGGCAGATCTTCCGGTGAATAGAAGATTGAGGAAGATGATGAGGCGAGAAGGATTTGCAGTTCACATGTTTGCAGGTGAGTCGACAGGATTCACACTGGCGAGGGCTCTACAACAACTTGGAGCAAAGGAAGGTTGGTTGCTTGAGCTTGACATTCAGAGAGGAGAAGGACATGACCTGCTCCGAGACAAGGGAGCATACTCAGGGCTGCTTAGATGTGCCCTTGAAGGGAAGATCAAAGCGATTGTGGGAGGACCGAACTGCCGCTCAAGAAGTGTTCTCCGACATCGGCCGATAGAAGGACGTCCTGATGCACCAAGACCTATCAGAGAGTGGGGAGGAGGTGAATATGGGAAGTCTGATCTAACTCAGGCCGAAGCCAAGATCCTTTTGGAAGATGACGTCTTGCTTTGGAGGATGGTGTTCTTGCACATGGTCTCTCACTATGTGGCCAAAGCTCGAGGCATTGACCAGGAAGTGCAGTTCAGCCTGGAGCAGCCTGCGTCCCCAAAGGCATACAACAAGGAGGTTGTCAGCTTTTGGGACACCAAAGAATGGGAAGCCTTGAAGCGAGAATTTGGCTTCACCGAAGAAACTTTTGAGCAGGGACGTCTTGGAGGACTTTCCACCAAACCAACGACCTTTGGAGGGACGTTGAACCTGGATGTGGAAGGTCATCAAATGAAGAAAGGAAGAAGTTCTGGAAAGGTATCTGACTCAAAGCAGCTTGCGAGGTGGGCCCCAGGAGTGATGTCAATGGTGGCATCTGCCTTGATGGAACAAGTTTACCACAAAACACCAAAGCTGCGAGAACTGTCATGGAGCGAACATGTGATGTTTGGACACATACCTCACAGGAGAGACTGCAGAGTGTGCCAAGAAAGCCAGCAGATCTCCGACCAACACAGGAAGATTCCATATCCTCTTGGTGCCACTTTGTCAGTTGACGTTGCAGGGCCCTTGAAGAAGGCGTACGACAGAGGTGGAGGTCAAGCACGATACATGCTTGTAGGAGCCATGACATGGCGATTTCCCAAAGGATTGGTGAAGATGAAGCAGCCCCCAGATGAGGAGTTGGAAGAAGACGCCCCAGAAATCGAGGTTCGAGCTGCTGAAGAACTTGAAGATGCTGGTGAGGCCCTGGGTGGAGGAGACCCGGGTGAGCCCCCAGCTGGCCAAGCTGGTGACGCAGAGTCGGGTGGAGGAGACCTGGTTCGGCGCCCAGCCGGCCCTGACGGCGACGCAGAGTCGGGTAGAGGAGACCTGGTTCGGCGCCCGTCAGGAGCCCCGGGCCATGAAGAAAAGGAAGAAGAGCAGCCGGGCCCAGCGATCGAAGGCCCAGACATTGAAGAAACCGAATTGAGGGTGTTTCGTCTGGGCTTGCCAATGGTGACAAAGACGTCACGTGAAGTGGCCAAAACTACGATGGAGTTCGTCTTGAAGTTGAAGGCAGATGGATTTCATGTGAACAGAATCCATACCGACCAAGGGCATGAATTCGGAACACACTTCCGAAACTGGGCCAGAGACAGAGGTATCATCGTCACTCGAACCCCTGGAGACGACCCTCGAGGAAATGGAAGGGCCGAATCATCTGTCAAGGCCGTGAAATGCCAGGTGAGAAAGGCACTTCGACAGGCACATGTTGGAGCTGAATGGTGGCCTTGGGCATTGCGCTATGTCGGGGAGTTGAATCGTCTGGTGAGGCTTGACAAGAAGCCTGACTTTCCGAGGTTCCTGCAAGAAGTGAGAGTGAGGAAAAGATCACGGACGAAACCAAGCACGGAGGCCTGGGGGTCGGCGTGGAAAAGGTTTTGTACTTGGCTCCAGCACCAGAAGAACATGGTCACTGGGTCGTGAAAAAAGGAGATCCACCCAGGCTGACGAAAAGCATTTTGAGGATGACAACAGAGCCGGAGGATGAGAATCAGTGGCTGGCTTTGGGGGGAGATTTGATGGATGCCTGGACGGTTCGGAGAAGGTTGCGAGACAAGTCCACGGTCAAGAAGTTGGAAGGGTTTGAGGATCCAGAAGAAGATAGGAAAGATGAAGTTTTGAAGAGAAACAGTCGGATCGTCGAGCTCATCGAGGAAGAAATGAAGAAGATGGTCGACGATGATCCAGAAAGCGTCGTGGACGAGATGGTTTTGATTGGAGCATTGAGAAAGATGATTGAAGTGCCTGAAGACCATGAAGAGGTACTTCAGACAAGGATCATCTCTCCACGAGAAGTGTCGAGCCAATGGCACAACTGGCTACCAGCCATCAATGCAGAAGTGCATTCGCTGGTGGAAGAGAAAGGAGCACTGAAGATTTTGAGTCAAGAGGAGGTTGAGGAGTTGAAGAGGGAGGCAAAAGAGAAGGGGCAGAAGATCGAGTGTATCCCATCCAAAATGGTGTATACTTTGAAGCCAGGCATGGATGGTGGCCGAAAGAAAGCGCGGCTGGTTGCATGTGGAAATTTTGAAGAAAAGAAAAAGGATGAATCCACATACTCCAGCGGTGCAGATGCCGCCGCATTTCGCATCATGATATGGATCTCAGCTCGAGAGTCCTGGCAAGCCTGCACCCTTGATGTAAAGACGGCATTCTTGAATGCCGACATGAGCGTTCAAGAAGATGATGGCCTCATTCTCATCAAACCTCCACCGATTTTTCAGGAGAAGAACTATGTCCCGAAGGGCGTGATGTATCAACCACTCAAGGCTGTCTATGGGTTCAGGCGAAGTCCAAGGCTGTGGAGTCTCCTGAGAGATCAAACCATGAGAGACTTCAGAATCCATGTTCTTGAGAATGGTCAAGAGAAAGTTTTGGTTCTGCTGCAGCTGAATTCAGAGCCAAACCTATGGAAGATAGCTGTCCAGGGGAAGAAGAGGAGCCCACTATGACCAATGGCATGATGCGAGGACTAGTGATGTCCTATGTTGATGATCTGTTCGTCACTGGTCCGAGCTATGTGGTCGAAGCAGTCAAAGCCAAGTTTGAAGAAACCTGGGCTACTTCCAAGCCCGAATACGTGGGTGAACATCCAGTCCGGTTCTTGGGGATGGAAGTGAAGAAGGAAAGAAAGACAGAGGACGAAAGGGAGGTGTGGTATGTCACTCAGGAATCCTACATCTCTGACCTCCTCTCCAAAGAACATGGACTCAAAGAACGAAAAATCCCAATTTCCCGGGATCAATCCTTGATGGAAACCACTGCTGATCCGCCAACAGCAGAACAGATTAAGCACTGTCAGAAAGAAGTTGGAGAAGCATTGTGGCTAGTCACGCGAACCAGGCCAGATCTAATGTTTGCAGTTAGCCGTATGGGCTCCAACATCACCAAATCAGCTGACGCAGTTTTGGAGGTGTCGAGACAGCTGAAAGGCTATCTGCTGAAAACAAAGGAAGAAGGGTTGAAGTATGATGAAAGCCCTGGAAAGCCCATTGCCGTCAATGCGTTTTCTGACGCATCCTTCGCCCCAGTTGGGGAGGAATCACATGGAGCGTTTGTCATCAAGTTCAATGACGCTCCGATTTTTTGGAGGTCAGGGCGACAGAGTGAGATCACCCTTTCAACTGCTGAATCGGAATTGGCCGAGATCGTGGAGGCCATGGGAGCGGCTGAGTCAATCTCAGTGATCATTGAAGAGATCTATGAAGAAGTTGAGAAGATCGCTTGGAGCGACAGCCAAGCGGCGGTCGCTATCATGACGTCGGAGGGAGGCTCCTGGCGTACAAGGCATCTCAGAATGAAAGCAGCGTATGCACGTCAAGCCATCTCACAGGGCTTGTGGTGCTTGAATCACATGGCAGGTCTGACTTTGGTGGCGGATGTTGGGACGAAGGCAGTCAGTGCCAACCGACTTGAAGCTTTGAAAGAATTGATGGGGATGGGCAGAAGCTCAAAATCCTCGGGCCGAGCTGGCGACGCAGAGTCGGGTGGAGGAGACCTGGTTCGGCGCCCAGCTAGGCGAGACGGCGACGCAGAGTCGGGTGGAGGGGACCTGGTTCGGCGCCCGTCTAACGCCCATGGTCCAGAGGAAGAAGAATCAGAAAAGAAAAGAGAAAAGGCGGTCAACGCCATCAGATTGGTCATCTTCATGGCCACGCTGACAGGAGCCAAAGGTCAGGAAGAAGATGAAGACGAAGAGGAGGGTCAACGAGAATTTCAAATCATGATGGCCGCTTTTACGATCATGGTCGTCGTGGTCACTCTTCTTTTTCAGAGAGCATGGAAGGTAGGAGTAGGAATGTGCTATCAGGAGCCCAAAGAAGTTTCTGAGAAGCCAGGACGAAGTCTCCCCATGCGCGAAGTTCAAGAAGAGATTCAAGAAAATACACAACCAGAAGCTGGAGGCGCTGGCGGTGAGTTGGGGTCGGGGAGTTCAGCTGAACACCTGGTCCGCCTCCCGCCAGGGGGCCGGGAGGAGCACCAACCGCTCTCCCAACCTGAAGGCGAAACATCCAGTTCATCAGACTGGTCTTCAGGTGGTCCCAGCCCAGCTGAGGGAACTTTGGAGCGAAGAATCGAGGAGGAGTTGCTGAAGATTGCAGAAGAAGAAGCTGAGCTTTGGCATCAGATACGCCAAGTTCCGCTACCACCAGTGTTGATAGAGAAAGTAGAAGAAAGAGAAGAAGAGGGACTGAGGTTTCCAATTTTCAGGACGAAGTTTGGAGTGGTCTATCATAGCACTCTGACCTGTAAACATCTTCAAGGAGTCCGAGTGTCATTGCCCCGAGAGTTCAAGTGGTGCCAAGATTGCCGACGCGTGGCGCTTCAAACTAGAGGGCGACCGCCTCCTGGAACTCCAGTCATCTTGTCAGTTGAAGGAAATGCAGCACATACTGGTAAGAGATGCCCATGGGTCCGAGATGCCAAATCGACCCCCTTTTGCCTCACATGTCAAGAAAGAGAAAGGGTAGGTTGAGCTGCTGAAAGGTTGGACGACCTGACGAACGTCCAACGGGGGAGTGCAAATGCTCCATTGAATTTTCACTTGTTTGCATCACATTGCATCTTTTCACTTTGCTGCAACCGCAGCTACCCTTTTCGAGATCAAACCACCTGGCGCAGGAAAAATCCAGGTGCTGTCCGCTGCTGTTGAGGTAGCACAAATCGAGAAGTGTAACCTGAGGTAAGAGGTGAGAAGGTACCTGCGCATCTGCAAAGGAAGCCATACAGCCTAGTCACCCCTCCATAGATGCAAACAGATATTCAAAAGTCTGAACCCCATCAGCGGCGTTTGGAAGGTTGGAACCTCACATGGGGGGATGCTGGCGAAAATTGTGTTCCAAGCGTGGAACTCTATCTGTTCCAGATCCAGTAAATGCGTATGGCCCAAAATGAGGTTGAAACCACAATTTATCAGATTGATAAATAGAAATGGATACAGTAAACATGGGTAAAAATGGTTTGCCAAAGTTCAAAGGATTTAAAGAACAGTCAGACAGAGTTCCTTGTAGAAGTTCTGCCTATGGCAGCTGGGTATCCCGGCACTCCCGGCAAACCCACCACCTGACGCGGCCAAGGATCACATGGCGGTTGCATCCCAAAATCGTTGTTTTGTACCCAAGTGGATGAAGCAGAAAAACATCAATCAACCAAGGGACAAGGGTCCTTAATGTTTGGGCGCAGCAATTGAATCCGAAAAAAACGGAAAAATGACATGACTTGGGAAACGAAAGTACAAATGGGTTGGGCCCACATTTTGCCGTCCAGAAAACCATCTCTGAAAGGTTGATGAGAATCGATTTCCAAATTGTTTTGGGGTACTGGGTATGATACATGTTTTTCTTTGAGGTGTCTCGAAAATACCGATGGTTCTTGTTTTCCCATGAAATACTAGTTTGCGGTATCCCAATTTTTGGACAGACTTCAACATGAGTAATTAGAAAACAATAATTCTAGGTGGAAATCAATAGATGGTGTTACATTGAACATCAGTTCTCTAATTTACAATAATCCATCAGCATACACTGGTTACCATCATTTACCGACCAACAAATTGCCCCCGATACATTGGATACATTCGGCTACAATACTACCCGATCTAGCTGGGTAATACGCCCCACAGGTAGATTTCTCAAAAGTAGCAAAAACGACGTCCTTGGGTCAGCTGACCTAGGGATATCTGGCTATTAGGGATCCGACAATCATCCCGACAAACGTTTGGGGCATAGCACAAGCGAAGGCCGTAATACTATACTTGACAGCCAGTCAATTGAATCATGGATCATACCACATACCAATATATCATAGAGCATATCAGATCTTTATAACTATTGATTTTTACAAAACCATATATCAATATATATATATATCAATAGTTGATTACATCATCATCCAATTAAATTGATATATATATATATATATCATTAACCATGTATTGGTTCATTATACTGTACCATGATCATACCATTGCTGGGCTCTCCGCACTGGAGTTCCGGGAGGCGGCACCGGCGTTCCACTGGCCTCCAACGGTAAAATGGCGTGATGAACATATGGCCAATTTAGAGGTGATGAAATGCCAGGATTTACCTATCAATTATCGAGGCAAGAGACCCAAAACAGTGTGGGGTGAGTGGGAGGATAATGTAACATAATGTTGTTGTTGATGAAGATGATGATGATGATGATGATTATGATGTTGATGATGATGATGAGGATGATGGGGATGATGAGGATGATGAGGATGATGGGGATGATCAGGATGATGAGGATGATGAGGATGATGAGGATGATGAGGATGATGAGGATGATGACGATGATGAGGATGATGAGGATGATGAGGGTGAAGAAGGTGATGATGATGATGATGATGATGCTGATGATGAAGATGATGATGATGATTCTGATGCTGATGATGATGATGATGTTGATGTTGAGGATGATGAGGTGCAGGAGGATGATGTTGAGGATGATGAGGTTGAGGATGATGATGTTGAGGGTGTTCATGGTGAGGATGATGATGTTGAGGAGAATGAGGATGAGGATGATAATGCAGAATATGAAGGGGAGCATGATAAGTTTGAGGATGATGATGTTGAGAAGGAGGATGAGGATAATGTTGGGGATGATGAGGTTGAGGACGATGATGTTGAGGATGTTGATGGTGAGGATGATGATGGTGAGGATGATGAGGATGAGGATGAAGATGGTAATGCGGAAGATGAAGTGGAGGAGGACAAGGTGCAGGATGATGATGTTGAGAAGGAGGAAAGTCATGATGATAAGGAGGATGATGATAAGGATGATGAAAAGGATGATGAAAAGGATGATGAAAAGGATGTTGAAAAGGATGATGAAAAGAATGAAACCGTTGCGGAAGAGGAGATGGAGGAGGAGGACGTTGCGGAAGATGAGGTGGAGGAGGATGAAGTTGAGTATGCTGATGTGAAGGGGGAGGAAGATGATGATGTTGAGAATGATGATGCTGAAGAGGAAGATGATGATGTGGGGGATGATGATGTTGAGGAGGAGGACCGATCCCAAGACCTAGGACCACACTTTGTGCAAGCCTGCGCAGTCGAAATGCATGTCAACATTTCACAAAGCCACTTTATGCGGAAATTTACAGGTAAAATGCTGCAGACCAAACCCGCGGACCACACTTTGTGCGGGCCTGCGCAATAGAAATGCATGTCAACATTTCGCAAAAGCCACTTTATACGGAAATTTACAGGTAAAACGCTGCAGGCCAAACCCGCGGACCACACTTTGTGCGAGCCTGCGCAGTTGAAATGCACTTCAACATTTCACAAGAGCCACTTTGTACGGAAATTTGCAGGAAAAATGCCCGAGACCTAAGTGAGCACCCTGATCAAGCACCGGCCTTTACACTTACCGTAAGAACCCCTCAGTGTGGACACGCTGTTTGGGGAAAAATGGCGATGTTATATTGATTTATGATGATCATGCCCTTTTTTAGATTATGTTCAATGATTTACTTATTGAAAATCCCACTATGAATGACTGGTTACCCTCTGGTTATTTCAGCTAGCTATGGAAGCCATGGTCCATCTATTCTAGATGATTTTTGACAATTTAACTATTGAAAATGGTGATTGTTTATGGCTATGTTTAATTACCTGGTGGTAAAACCTACATTGCTAGGATGCCTTGCAACTTCTATTACTAAGAAGATGAGATTTGATCCCTTCAAGAATATTGCCACATAATATATAATATATATATATAAAACACATACATACATACATACATACATACATACATACATACATACATAAATACATACATACATACATACATACATACATACATACATACATACATACATACATACATGATTATGTGTATATAATATAATATTAATATTATATACATATATATATGGCGCATGCCCAATATTGTGTGCTGCCGCTTGATGTCCCCAAAATCATCACCACTCACGAACATACCCAACAGTGACCCAACAAATGTGCCAATGGATTGTGAAACAAATCAGTTCCACCAACATACCCCCATTGGATTAGCTTAAGGGATATGTTACAGAAAACCACGAGTCTCTGCTATGAAGAGGGAGATTGGATTGGATCATCTTACGCCATACCCAGCTCCCAGGCCTGCTCCATGTCACCTGCAGGTCGTTTTCAGTGTTCTATCTTCGAAGGTAAAAACACTTGTTGGTGAGTCAAGGTCACTTCTGATAGGCATCACCAGATGTTGACGATGTCCACCATGAGGCGCTCCCAGCCAGCCTGCATCTGTGGACGTGGGCGGCCTGAGTGGACCAGCTGCCATTGAAAAGATGGATGTCAGGCACTGAAGCTCGGGCACTAAAGCTGGATATTGTCATGGGGGTTTTAAGTAACAAAATATATGGGAAGTTCATCAACAGAAGGCAGAAGTATAACCAACATAGATATGTATGTGGGTTTCAAAGATTCACCAACAAAAGTTGGAATATTTAGCAACAATTAGCATGCATGAGCTATAGATAGCAGATGATAGCCGTTGTTTTGAAATTTATATCTACCGATCTACCCATCAGAGGGTACCCATGAGTTGATGGGCCGCCCATTGCCCACGCTCAATGTGCAACTGGTTCACTCGATGAACGCGGCAAAGTGGACTGAGTTCAAGATCTCGATTTTGAAATGTGTCTGGCCGCCAGGCCGCCACCGTTTCCATGGTGGCTTGGAATCTGCCCATTTTCAATGCAACCAGGGGGGGTTCTATGGCAAACGCGACTTTGGAAAACCAATCAGCGTGTTGTAGAAGATTCAGGGGTTCCTACTAACACTGAGGCGAAAACCCCAGCAACTCGGATGATTAGGTCCAGCACTCGAAAGGTTTTGCGCCTATACAGCCTGGTGGTATCTGGTTCCAATACATCCGGAGACTGGTCGATGCAGCGATGCCATGATCGGACTGCCACCTCTGATTCACGGATCACGCGACGCAGCCTCAGTTGAGTGCGAAAATTCAAACTTCAGCTGTTCTTGCCCTGCAGGTCACGTTTAACAAGAACACAGGCCCCTCCGATCTTGGCATCTGACTGCTGAGAATGTCTAGATTGAAATGGACCTGAGTTTACATGTCTTGCACCAGGTCGAATCGACAAAATTAGTGTTAGTGTTCATCTGTCAAAGTTGACATTCATACATATTCTTGATCCGGAAACTGCAATGGCGATGGCCAAAAGCGCATGATGGCTAAAGTTACTGCTTTCGGGAGTTCACTATTTCTTTTTACTCTGGTTCATCATCCTGTAATCTCAAATCACAATCAAACGTCGCTGCGAGCATCTTTACGCTTGATGGTCCGCGGCATCTTCCGTTGCATGCTTTCTCTTCCAGGCTGAATCTCGCTTGCATAGATTCTCTTGCCACAAATCCATTGAGTCATGAAGAATCCGGAAGCACCAGGTTCTGATTTCAACACACGAGATTCGGAATCCGTGGAAACCAGCTTCGCCATCTGGATCTGAGCTCCCAGACCTACCAGGATGCCGCCCACCTGTCTAGGAATGGCTGAATTACAGCAGGGAATACGAGGCAATACTAAGCGAACATCTTGGAAATTATCATGGGAATTACCCTCTGGTAATTTAACATAGCTATGGAAAATCACCATGTTGAATAGGTAAATCATGTTAATTCATCTAGAACTGATCTAAAATAGCTAGTGATCATCATAAATCAGCATCTTTAATAGGTAAATCATGGTGCTCTAGGCCATGGTTTCCATAGCGTCAACTAGCCAGAGGCTAACCCATCAGAGCTCTACCATGGGGATGTTGGTTGGCAAGAGGCGATGCGAGGGAACAAATGAAGCAAAACCTAAAAAGAAGTCGGCCAATTGAATATAATTATGATTAATTATGTACATATTAGTATGTATGTATATATATATATATATAACTATACATGTATACATATATATATATATATATAGATAGGTAGATAGATAGATAGATAGATAGGTAGATAGATAGATAGATAGGTAGATAGATAGATAGGTAGATAGATAGATAGATAGGTAGATAGATAGATAGATAGGTAGATAGATAGGTAGATAGGTAGATAGATAGATAGGTAGATAGATAGATAGGTAGATAGATAGATAGATAGATAGGTAGATAGATAGATAGGTAGATAGATAGATAGATAGGTAGATAGATAGATAGATAGGTAGATAGATAGATAGATAGATAGATAGGTAGGTAGATAGATAGATAGATAGATAGGTAGATAGATAGATAGATAGGTAGATAGATAGATAGGTAGATAGATAGATAGATAGGTAGATAGATAGATAGGTAGATAGATAGATAGATAGGTAGATAGATAGATAGGTAGATAGATAGATAGATAGGTAGATAGATAGATAGGTAGATAGATAGATAGATAGGTAGATAGATAGATTAGGTAGATAGATAGATAGATAGGTAGATAGATAGATAGATAGGTAGATAGATAGATAGATAGGTAGATAGATAGATAGATAGGTAGATAGATAGATGCAGTATATCCATGAATCCTAACCCCTTGCAGCCAAAAATCCCGCGCTGCGCCTCCAAGAGACTGTAAAGGTATTGAGCACCTCGCACCAGCTGGGTATAGCTGGCCAGCAGATCCTTCAACTTCCCCATTGAGGGTTGGCATTAACATCTACAGATCTACCAACGCTTGCCGCAAAGAGCCATGCATACAGCCCAGCCCTCTACTCAAAGCAAGAAGTGCAAGGCACTTCCAGTCCAGAGATTTTAAGTAAAATCTGCAGTGCTAAGTAAAATCTGCAGTGCTTCCATTGCTCAATATAGTGGGTTGCCTGGAAATAAGCTATTACAGATCCACTGGCTAACCATCATTGCATGTGATGTTCCCTAGGGAAATTGCTGAAAAAGGGTGGTACAAGTACAGTTGTTACAGTAGTACATCCCCATTTTCAGACACACCATGGAATGGAAAATCAGAGTCGGAGATAGATCTTCGCCCCTTAGGCTCCCTCGCGAGGGCAGGCGCAGGCACCAATCTTGGCCGATTTCGTGGCTTCGGCTTGGGAAGGAGACCCAAGGGGAACGGTCCCGGTAAACCCCTCAAAACTTGAGACACCAAGTATGCCCGCAATCATCCCAAGGCTTGTTTGGGTAGGAAGTTCATGGCTGGATCCTGAGATGACAAATCATTTCTGGATCTGGTGTCTCAGCTGAAACCCCTTCAAAACTGAGACCCGATCCCATCCGATTCCCTCCAAAATGTCTTCCTAAAAGTGAAGTGAAAGCAATATAAAGCAATCAGGAACTTCAACAAACACTACTCAGAATTCTGGAAATCCGGAGCTGGATAGCTTCCAAGAGATCCATCATGATCACCTGTTTGAAGGCCATCCAAGATTGATCAATGGTGAGAATGGGCGAATTCGGCCGCGATGAACTGCTCCAGGTCCCAACCTCCCCTCTTTTGTGCCGCCCGCTTCGTCAAGAGACGCTGCCGGCAGTTTGGTGAGACATGGCAAACCGCTCAGTGAAGCTCATTAGGCAACTGACTAACATTGATTGGAAACGTGAATTTCAGTGACTCTTCGCATAGAAATTCCGCCGTGGTTTGGGATGAATGATCTCCATGGTGACTGGATCTGGATCACTTCAAGTCGCAGCCGGTCAGCCTCAGTGATCGAAGGAGTTGGTGAGTCACTTGGATTTGGGTAATCAAAAAAAAAATGAAAATGGAGCTACAAGATGCTATGGAATCCCGACTTTGCCCACTGGGATTCACTGTCTTCATCGCACAAACCAAGGTCCACACACAGTTTTCTCGTCCATCCGACACAGCTTCAACTCTGCATGCCTCGCCATTGTGTGAACCCTCGATCAAGGACGGTGAGGCCAATATTGGATGGCAATAATCGCCATGAAACCAGTGTGGGGTCACATGTTTCACCATCGACCATCCGGGATGATTTACTTGCAGTTGTGGTTTGCTTCGTCTTCCATTGCAAGGTTCCATGTAGTAAGTGTTTGAACTTGTGATAATCCTGTGCGAAGACATGCAAAGGAACACAGGAAGACACCAGGTGTTCCTGACGGTATACATCTTTCATTGGATGTATCCCCTTCATATTCGCTCCATTTGCAGTAATTCAATGTAGATATTTTATGTGTATATATATATGTATATATGTAAATATTATATATATATGTATATGTGTATATATATATATGTATGTATATATAAATCTAAATATACATATATATATATGTACATATATATATATATATACATATATACTTATATACATATATATATATATGTATATATACATGCATACATATGTATGTATATATATATATGTATACATATGTATATATGTATGTATATATATGTATATGTATATATGTATATATGTATATATGTATATATGTATATATATATATGTATATATGTATATATGTATGTATATATGTATATATATATATGTATATATGTATTTATGTATGTATATATATATGTGTATGTATATACATGTTTGTATGTATATACATGTTTGTGTGTATTTACATGTTTGTATGTATATACATGTATATATGTATGTATGTATGTATGTATGTATGTATCTATGTATGTATGTATGTATGTATGTATGTATATACATGTATGTATGTATGTATCTATGTATGTATGTATGCATGTATGTATCCATGTATGCATGGATGTATGTATGTATGTATATACATGTATGTATGTATGTATGTATGTATGTGTGTATGTCCATGTTTGTATGTATATACATGTTTGTGTGTATTTACATGTATGTATGTATGTACATGTATGTATGTATATACATGTATGTATGTATATACATGTATGTATGTATGTATTTACATGTATGTATGTAGATACATGTATGTATGTATATACATGTATGTATGTATGTATGTATGTATGTATGCATGCATGTATGTATGTATGTATGTATGTACATGTAGGTATGTATATACATGTAGGTATGTATATACATGTAGGTATGTATATACATGTAGGTATGTATATACATGTATGTATGTATATATATATGTACGTATATACATGTAGGTATGTATATACATTTGGGTGTGTATTTACATGTATGTATGTATATACATGTATGTATGTATATACATGTATGTATGTATATGTATGTTGGTATGTATGTTGGTATGTATGTATGTATGTATGTATGTAGGTAGGTAGGTAGGTAGGTATGTATGTATGTATGTATGTGTGTTCACTGTGTCTGGGCTATTTCTCAGAGGCATCCAAAATTGCGTGAGACCCAAAACAGGCCATCTGCCAAAGGTTGAATCAGCTTTCACTGCTGATGGCCCCGTAAGATGCTGCTGATTCATCTTTGATTCCACCGGTTTTCCTGAGATGCCCCAAGGGCCCCAACCAAGCGCATGCAGCAGCGCTGGACCTGCCAAGCTGTTGGTTAATGGAGAGTTTATGGACAATAAATCGAACATCTGACCAGAACTGAGGATATGTTGGGGATACACTGGGGGAAATTATGCTATTCTAGTTTTTGGTTTCAAACCCCTCAGAAAATGAGATTGTCATTGGGGATGACCATCCCGTTTCTATGGTTGAAAACAAAAACTACATATTAGAAATCACCAACCGGAAAGTACTGGGTTGACGTTCCCATCAAAAATGGGGATCGAACCAATGGAAATGGTGATCCCAACAGGTTTTCCAAAACTTATAATCACAGCCCATGTTCGGGTCGATCATTTTTTTTAACCACCATTGCAAGTTGATTTAAAACCCTTTGAAGTGGCAAGTGTCTGCTGGGGCGATCATGTCCCAAGGGGTTTTGTGGCCAAAACCATCTGCCCGTTCCACTGGTTCGTCAATCTTCCGTGTATGTCTGTCCCCAACAAACCACTCAAAAAATGATCCAACAATTGACCAACCACTCATGATTTCAGGATTAGATCACCACTTTGGGTCGCTTAACAAGCACCTATGGTTTTGGGCATCGCTGACTTCCTTCCCCCTGTACTTTGGTGACTTGGCAAATTAGATGTTCATCGAAGATTCCCAGCATTGACAGGAAGATTGCAGGTAAGTCCCATCCGTCATGTGACAACAATTTTAGATTATGATCATACTTTTTCTGAATTACAAGTACCATCCCATGCTTTGTTCAGATTGTGATTTCCTGCAAACTGTCCCACAAAATCAAGCCAATGACTTTGTATTCACACCTCTTCACCTCATGCACATCGTAGGACTTGTTGCACTCAGCCTGCCACAGAGAAGCTTCGCGATTTGTGGCTTTCTGAGGATGGGCTAATCGGCCAATCAGCGTAGGCCCAAAATCATAATGTCGCCCTCTACGTAAAATGGGTGGTGTGCGCCATTTTACACACTCTCTGGGTACAGTATTTCTTGGACTCTGGGACCCGAAGATGTTCACAGATCACTGAAAAAACCAAAGTTTCTGGGATGTGTTTTTCTCATTCGGGCAAACGGAATCATTTATTGCCGGAAATCAATAAATAAATATGTGTACATATATATATATATTACATTCATTTTAAATACATTACGATATACATACAGTATATATATATACAGTGTGTATATGTATATATATATATATTACATTTTATATACACATAAAATAAATATTATATATATATATACATATATTAAATATCATATATATATATATGAATTATATATATATATATATGTTACAAATATTATATATAGATATATATATATTAAAATATTAAACATTAATTATATATATATTGAAAATATTATATAAATATATATTAAAAACATTACATATATATATATATGTGTGTGTGCGTGTATTGAAAATATTAAATATAATATAAATATAGATGTGAAAAAGGAACAGCAATGACCGACTTCCGAAACGCAGGCCTCCTCTGAAACTGAGTTGCAATGTTTCACCTGTAGGGTTGACACGTGTCCTCTGAAGAAACACCCGATGAATTGAAAACGATGGATAGATGATTCTTGGGATAGATGATTAATGACGATTTTGTATGGCAATAATCCAAGTGTATCCAATTGTCCCAAATGCATCCGAATGATTCTGAACATCATGGGGGATGGCTATCAAATGCTACCATCTGATTCCCCTGAAATCATGGATTGTCAGAGATGAAACACGCCCACCTCCTGATCACGATCCTCTCCACAACAGTCTCTGATGAAAAAACACAAACATCTCCAGTGAAAACAAAAACACATCAGTGCATATATATATATATATATATTTATTTATATTTATATTTATATATATATATGTATATATATCAACCCTTGGATCATAGCGTTGCTATGTCCAGCCCTAGGCCCCAGTAAATGCGTCCAATTACAAAAGGCCACACAACACAGACCGTCCCGTTCTTGGGGGGTCACAAAGAACACCCAAATATATCTGGTAGATGTTCATCCCCCAGTTCCGATGGTCAAATACGCGCATTGGCATTGATAAATCACAAAAAAAAAAACGTTCATCATTCACAATCCCAATTGATGTCTTACGATGTTGGTGCTATCAGCGATATCCACATTTGGTGGTAACATCTTTGTTTTTTGTTGGTAGGAACTTGGTAAATTGTCAAGTCCGTACTGACATTGGGTCCTGGTGCTGGTCCCGTAGACACAAGGTGGCCCCAGCTACCGTATGTTTGTTGGGTTATAACCTCCATCAACTATAGATATGATGTATCTACCATAAACCTAACAGTTGTTGGTCAGTTAAATCCCGTTAAATCCCAATTCATATCCCACCAACTATACACGTGATGTTCCATTAACTATAGATAATCGAAGGAAGTTTATAGGCCAAACTTCCGACAATGTGGACAAATGAAAAAGCAGAGGTGGGAAGAGTCAGAGAAGGTCAGAGAAGAGAAGAGAAGAGAAGAGAAGAAGAAAGAAGATCAGAAAAGAGAAAGAGTCAGAAGACAGAAAAGATGCTGGTGCGTGAAAAGGTAGCAAAGTCGCAAAACACTGCGCTCCTCCAATGATTTGTGGCTCCGGAAGGTCGAAAAGTAGGCTCGCTAAAGCGGGAGGTGCGGAGCCGCCTGGGGAGATGAGAGATGAAAAATTGCACGCTGTTGTGACGCGAAGCACATTTCGAAGTAAAAAACACACCAACGTCGGAACACTTTTGGAAGATGAGATGTTCAAAAAGTGCACGGCGTTGTGGCGCGAAGCACGTCAAAATCTACAAAACACACCATTCTCAGAGCACTTTTGGAAGTTGAGATGTTGAAAAAGTGCGCACGTTGTGGCGCGAAGCACATGTCCAAGTCAAAATGCTAAAACAACTACTCCTCCTCCTACTACCACTACCACTACCACTACCACTACCACTACCACTGCCACCACTGCCACCACTACCACACCAATACCACTACCACTGCTACTGCTGCTGCTGCTACTGCTACTGCTACAACTACAACTACAACTACAACTACAATTACACCCACACTGCATTACACTACGCTACACTAATTACACTGCAGTACACTACAACTACAAATACAAATACAACTACAACTACACTACATGACACAACACTACACTACACTACACTACACTACACTACACTACACTAGTTACATTACACTACAACTACAACTGCCACTACAACTACAATTACAGTACGTTACACATCGCTACACTACACTATTTACATTGCATTACGCTACAACTGCGACTGCAACTACAACTACCACTACATTGCAGTACACCACGCTACGCTAATTACACTATACTACAACTACAACTACACTACTTTACAGTACACTACGCTACACTAGACTACTCTACATACACTATACCACACTACAGTACACAACACTACAGCACAGCACACTACACTACACTAAGTACACCACACCACAACGGCAACTGCAACTGCAACTACACTACACTATTTACACTACATTACAACTACAACTCCATCACACTACAGCTACAACTACACAACTGCAACTACAACTGCACTACATCACACTGCATCCAGCAGTTGTGGCGAGGTGACCTCTGCAACCATTGCAAGCACTGCAACCATTGCAACCACTCCAAAAAACACAACTCCAACCACCTTGTGGTCCATCAGTAGATTCGCTCTGCCTTCCGTGATTCACAACAACCAACCTCTCCTGTAGACTTCCTATTTTTGAAACTTTCGCCACCGGCTTGTGCGGTACTACTGGTAAATCCCAGTACTATACAGTGATATCCCATCAACTATAGATATATCTACCATAAAACCCAACAGTGATTGTTCTGTTTACCAACGAACGCCTGCTTCTTGGCCCGCAGCTCCAAACACAGCTTGGACCTCAACGGATTTAGCGGGGGTTTAGCGATTTAAGACTGTTCTATGTGACTTACATGAGACTTCAATGAGGATCTGTGGGCATACATGTATCATATATATATATATAATTGTGATATAATGGAATATAAGCACTGGTATTACCAATTGGTAGGTCTTGGGTACCTGTTAGTGAGTGTGTGATTTGTACATGATTTACCGGTGTGAAAATGGGAATAACCCGAAGTGGCCAACAAAGACTTAGGAAAATTATGATAAGCGATGTCAATCTGCAATAATTATCCTATTTTCAGACGAACCCAATTGAGGCACAGAACATACTGACAGTGCAAAATGATGCGTCTTCATGTTGTGAACTCTGCCGGAGCTGACCCTACCACTGGTGACATGACCATTTGGAACAATGCATCTTTTGCCCAACAATACCGGGAGATCTAGGACCCAATAATCAACGAGGTATTCACAATCACTTCTTGCCACCAGTGGTGGACGCACCCTCAGCCTTTGACGCCGAGAGCCAAATTTTTGCACACACACGCGTTCTCCGAGTGTTCAACTGTACAACGCTAAGGCTGCTCTCTGGTTTCAGATAGCAACATCTGCAATTGGCCAAATGAGTGCGTGCCAGGAATACTTTTGACTCACACCCAATTGGTCCAACTGATTTGGTTAAAATCCGTCTCGATCCGAAATCGCTGAACCGAATTTCTGGGCGATTTTCGTGCATTCCTCGCTTTGAAGGAACCAATGTAAGCCCCCCGCCAGCGTCAACCCTAAGCTCAGGGTCAACACTAAGCATCACCCCATCAAGGTTCGGCCCGTGCTGTGGCGGAGCAAAAATCACAGGAAACAGCAGCTACCACAACCAGGACTACTACAAATTTCTGCTCCTGGTCCTGGTACTGGTACTGGGGTTGCCAGTTCCTTAGGCGGAGTTGGAACTGGATGTGAAGAAAAATGGGGGTTATCATTCCGAACCATGAAGAGTTTTCTCTCTGAACGGATATCATCATATAAGCTTCTCCAACCCCTTGGAACGACCAGTCATGTACAATGGTAGATACATGCTCATGTGGTTAAAACATTGTCAAATATTTTGGTTCACAAATTAATATGCATATGGTGGGGTGGGGTGGGGGTGGAGTGCTCTTGGCGCTTCTATGTATACATATACAGATGTGTTTCTGAAAAAATGAAAACGCATAGTGAGAAACATGCCTGTATTGTCGTTCTTATGTAATAAAATGTACTAAATATCATATATATATATACATATAGTTATATACATATGCATATAGAAACATATATATAGATAGATAGACAGATCCTGTTACAGTACTTCTTTTCGAAGAAGTTGAAGGGTTGGGTCAATTCAATCAGCGATTTGGTCTAATTGGATCACCCCCTTGAGAACTGACCCAGATTTAAAAAATGGATGCAAAAAATGAAGCCCTTACGAATTCTACTAAAATATCTATTTAAATTCCATCTAAATCCAGCATCCAAGAGTCAGGTATATCATGGTATATCCAAAAGATGAATTTTAGATTTTTGGATTTAGATGGGTAATTACCATGTTTATACTTTAGATTTAAAAATCTCTTTTGGATCTCCAGAAGATGGGTCCAAGGCACCGACCCTCCCGTGGCCTACTCCCGTGGCCTATCCAGGAGGCAGATGCTCTGCCTGACCATGTATCGATTTTGGGAAAATGGAAAAAGATGGGAAAATAGACTTGGGTCAAACACTCCATGTCTGCATACAAAATTACAACAACGGATTTGGATGGTCAAAAGCATGGTTTCCAGTAACTGCTCCTTTCAACCAGCCGGGGACGGTCAGGATGACAAACCAGCTGGGCGCTGCTCTTACATCAGTCTACCCCCATTCAAGGCTATGCTGGTCATTTGGGGCCCCAAGATCCCAAATGAAGGGATACATAGAGAAGTTGGAAATATCTATCCGTCCTGATCCATCAGCCAGCAGCTACCGCTACCACCCATCAACTGTGCCTTATTCCCATTGAAGGTTCGACACTATGTGCTATATCCACCCTGCCATCCGCCATCAGCCATCGCCTCCAGGTGCAAGCCAATGCTGTGCATTTCTTCATTGGTCGCCAGCAGCTCCTCATTGAGCTGCCCCTGTACTCCCTTCAACACCCTCTGTGCAAAGCTGCGCCTTTCCTGGGCGAAGCTTGGAAATGCATCAAAAAATGCCGGCCAGGTGCTGATGTTCTACGAAAATTTGGCTGGTTTGGTTGCTGCCTATGATGTGCTATAGTGGTCCATGGTCCAGCTCCCCCCTGGCCTCATCACTGCGCCCGCTGAAACCTGGGTCCAGGGACCAAAGACCGTGCTTGGTGATGTTGCAAATTCGAAACAATTATCTTATATGTATATATAATTATATAATACTATAGTGTATATATATAATATATATATATATGTGTGTGTGTGATTATACATATACAATATCATATATATCTGTATAAATATGGTTCAGTGTCGACCAGCCCCCCTCTCCCCCTCCAATGGTGATGGGTGGCCAGCCTTGCTTCTCATGGTTCCCCCCTCCCCCTGTGGCCTGTGGTGGTGCTGGGTGTTGGGGATATTGGTGATGGGTGGCCAGTCTTGGTTCTTATGGTTAGCTGTATGTATGTGGTGTATGTAGCTGTGTAGGTATGTGGGTATGTAGGTATGTAGGTATGTGGGTATGTAGGTATGTAGGTATGTATGTATGTAGGCATGTAGGCATGTAGGCATGTAGGCATGTAGGTACGTAGGTAGGTAGGTATGCAGGTATGTAGGTATGTAGGTAGGTAGGTAGGTAGGTAGGTATGTATGTGTGGCTGGTAGTCAGAAAAGCTGCAAAGACCTAGCAAATACGAGGCTGGACCTCAGAAATGCTGCCAATAGCTTGCAAATAGAAGGGAAGGTGGTGCTACCTGCCCACCCATCCGATTGGGGGGTGGGAACACGGGACACGGGACCATATATAATTATATATATATTATGTGTATAATTGTGTATACACATGCACATTACTGTACCACAAACTTCATTGCAACGACTCCCTTTTGCCCAGCGGCTGAACTTCACCGGCAGCCCATTCTCGGGTTCTCCAGTCACGCGCGGGTCGTAATTTGGGCCTAGGACAACCTGGGCAGTCAACGTTCAAACCAAGCGAAAACCAGCTTTTTCTATGGGAAAATCATCCAAAAATATCCAAAAAAGATGGGTTGAATGGGGAAAACATGGGAAAACTATCCATAAATGGTGTGTTTGGTGGGAAAATCATCTGCAAATGGTGGGTTTAATGGGGGAAACGTATCCACGAATGGGTTTGGGGAGTTGTATCGGAAATAAATCATCTATCAATGGATGAAATTGGCGGAGTTTGTCAATTGCCAGGTTAGATCGCTGAAGCCCTACTTGGAATTCAGGTGGTCTGAAACTCACAGAGTGATGGATTGGTGATCATCCCCCTTTTATGGGAAAATAATGGAAAATAGACCATGTCTTGACCACATCGTCTCCATTACACTCTTGCTGGGTGGTGACTTGATTCCTCTCAAGCCGCTAGGCTGGTCCAGCTGTGCCAAGCTGCTGGGATGTTTAGAATCTTCCGGATGTGGATGTGAAAATCATCGCCACTGGGGCTGAACGCAAATCTTGACCTCGGGCAGCACACATTTTTGGCGGTTTTTTTTGTGATGACCGTACCACCTGGCGAGGTAATCGACCAAAAATATCCCCGTGGGTATTGTGTCCTTTCTCCCCATGTTCATGGCCTTCATTCCATGTTTCGGGTCCCTTTCCCATCGATTGACCCCCAACCATCCCAATCTTCGTTGCTTCGCTCAGCCGCTCTCCGTCCCACTGGAAGAAGATTCCAGTGCCACGTTCTCCGGAGTAGGTCAAGGTCAAGCCTTCCTCTGGGCGTTTTGGAAGGATCTCCAGGGAAGCTGTTGATGGTTAAGCATCATTCCAGTAGCCATCCTTAACCATTGGTTAACCATCATTGACATTCATCAACAATCATTAAACCACAACGAACTCATCATTAACGGTCGTTAACCATCATTAGCCATCATTGACCAGACCATCCTGGTAGTAATAATATGCCGTTTGTTGCTGTTGTTATAGTCTTGCTGTTGTTGTTGTTGTTGTTGTTGTTGTTGTTGTAGTCTTGTTGTTGTTGTTATAGTCTTGTTCTTGTTGTTATAGTCTTGTTCTTGTTGTTATAGTCTTGTCGTTGTCGTTGTCGTTGTCGTTGTCGTTGTCGTCGTCGTCGTCGTCGTCGTCGTCGTTGTTGTTGTTGGCTTCAAACCATCCACAAAATGTGGATGAACGCTACTCAAAATATCTCATGATGAAGACCGCCACTCAAAATATCTCATGATGAAGATCGGATTGACTTTCGGATATGTAGAAGACTCAAAATCCACAGTCATGGACCACTGGGTTTCAGGGCCTCAAATCACCCCCAAAGATCTCGAGCTGTCTAGACTCTGAGAAGTGGAAAATCCACGATCGGTGACAAAACGGCTTCCCACTTTCCTGCTGAGTCTAGCCAGTCCCAAGCCCGCGTGGCGCCTCCCGCTTGTCCGTTTGATAGACAAACCCCGGATTTTTCAAGACCTTGGAACTGCAGAACTCCATGTGTTCAAACTTCGGGGATGATTCTGACATGATTCTCTTGCTGAAATTGGCTGTTTCAGTCCATTCAATGCAACCAGGGGTTTCAGCTTCTGACAAATGAACAGGGCATTCTGGGACGCAATCATTTATCATCGTCCATCATCATACTGTAGGTGTATACATGACTATATATATATATATATACATACGTATGTACATATTATATATATATATATGAGCTATATATCTGTGTATATAACTACCTTTCAGGGTGAAAAATGGAATCACCTCCATCTTAGGCCACCTTGGAGGCTCAAGCGAGAGCCAAGCCACGCTTTTGAATTTTCCCCTGTACCTGCAGCTTCAATGCAGCTACTGTTTGGATCTGGCTCAAACGCTTCCATCTTTTTGTCGCAAGCCACTCAGAAGCATCTTGGCATCCGGCACAAAATCACGAGAATGAAACAGCCTTGGAAGTAGACCCTCTTAATTTAGTTGACCTTGCTCTTTGGGGGACACACCAGTTGCAACTGGGCAATCAGCAAATGCATGGCCCTTTTCCTTCCTCCGGCCTGCAACTCTGTCCGCAGATATCTCGGCCCATAGCTGACCATGATAGTCACATGGGGTGAATTGTGATGAATTGAATTGTATCTGATATTGCACAATGTAGCTCCTACTGAGAACAACAAAGGAGTGTGATCCCTCAGCCTTAGAGGGACCCTCCTGAAGAAGTTGCCGCTGTTCAAGCAAAAGAAGATAGCAGAGGTCTGCCTCTAGTCAATCCAATACAATCTAGTCTATCCTACAAACCTGTCAGCTGAGCTTGGATATCAGAGCAGTCGCCACCAAACTCCGTCTTGCCCCATGCAACGGCAGATCCATCAGCCAGGATCGCAGCGAAGGCACCATCACTGGATTGGATGTGAGAGCTCTCACCACCGTGTGTTGGGTCGCCCCATGTCAACGCTGACCCATCATCCAGCATCGCCACAAAGGCACCCATCCCTGGACCTCCTGCACCTTCCGAAGCTGATCTTTGAGCGCGGTGCTGTCACCACCAGCCGTTGGATCACCCCATGTAACCACTGATGGCAGCGAATGCACCATCTATGTCCATCTATGCCCTTGATCTGCTCCACGTTCCTCAGTCGATGCTGAACAGCCGAGCTGTCACCACCCAAGTCTGAGTTGCCCCAGCTAACCACAGATCCATCCTCTCGGACGTGGCCTCAACGACCCTGACGTCGACGAGCTCCCGTTCCACTGCAGAGCTTTCGCCACCATAATCTGGATTGCCCCATGACACAACGGATTTGTCTTCCAGGATAGCTGCGAATGCACCATATAACCACTGAATCTTGAATCTGGTCTACATCTGCAAAATCTGCAAGAAATCCGTGGATCTCAAAGCTATCCCCACCAGCGCTTGGATGGCCCCACGTGACGACTGATCTATCTGCCAGGATGGCTGCAAACGCCCCTCCTTTTGCCGGGTGGATCTGTTCCACATGCCTGAGTTCATCTTTGACGGCAGAGCTGTCACCACCATGATCTGGAGAGCCCCATGTCACGACGGATTTGTTTTCCAGGATGGTGGCAAAGGCACCGTCTGTTGAATGGACCTTTTTTACATTCTCAAGAAACCGCGCAGAGATGTGCTCTCGCCACCGTATTGTGGATTGCCCCACGTGACCACAGATCCATCTCCTAGGACTGCAGCAAATGCAGAAGCCGTGGCTTGGACGAACTCTATGCCGTCAGAGGCGTGGACTTGAGTGTCACCGCCATAACGTCCAGAGCCCCATGTCATGTGACGATCCTGTCGCCTCCATGGCACCACAATGCAAAAGCTCTGTGCATCGCAGTGAGCTCTGGGCAAATGATTGCACTGACGTCATCACGGTCTCCAATCCCCACACTTTGCAGAGACTCTTGTGGATTTTGCAGGATGCGTCCTTGTGCAGTGACAAGCCTGAGTTCACTGCGGGATCCTTCCGTAAAAGACCTCCCAGGCTATTTTTCTCAAATGCCCCACGGTCGAGGACTCAGGTACTTCAAGAACCTCCTTTTTGCCACTTGGCAAGGTCATGTTCACCCGCAGCATTTCCAGAATAAATCTGAATCCACCCTGGACTGTCCAGATTGAGCCCACCACAACTTGAGCCAAGAAGGAAAAGAAATTATTGGCTGATCAGTTTTTCGCATTGCAGCAGCCACCCTCTTCTCTGGATACTTCATGGTCTTAGCCATGGTTCCTCATGTCCGCACGATTTTGGTTTTATCCCCTTCATTGCCTGTTCCATCCCAATTTTGGTCGCGCAAATCAAACTTGTTGCTTTTACTCTACACATCGCATTAGGTTGTTTGTTGGCTTCAATCTACAGCCCTTTCCATGTCTCAGTTTTCCACCATCCTTTCCTATGAAAAAAAAACCTCCCGGAATCACGGCTGGGCTCACATGTCCATCATGCCATCGTTGAACTTCGCTGGCTCTCGAGTGGAACAAATCCGTGCGCCCAACGGTGCGCGCTCGGCACCGTTGAACATCCCTGTGGCGCCGGTCATCAGCCCAACGCAATGCCATTTTTGGGGGCAGATTTCAAAAGTGGAGAGGGGTGATTCATGGTGATTCATGGTGATTCATGGTGATTCCTCACATTTTGCTATGATGATCTAGTCATGTTCTCGTTTCCATTTGGTCGGAGATGACTTGACCTTTCTCAACAAGACTGGCAATGGCAAGGAGTCTTGGAGTGTCCCACTACACACCACAGCAAAACCACGAGACCAAGCTGGATGTTTTTCCCAGCATGCACCATTCATTTTCATGATATTTGGTCGCACCAAGCGATGTCATCCCAAAAAATACAAAACAGTGTGACCAATGCCTCAAGTCTCAGGAAAATGTGTTGAAAAAACAATCATTTGAAGACTTTTCCGACCCACTGATCCCCCCCCAGCGCGTCCCAACATGTCCCAACATATCCTCGTGCCCCTTGGCCCTTGGTGTTACTGGGGCACCTGCTTGCCAGTTGATGTTCAAGAAGCCCACTTCCCGGTAGCGCTCGCCCCCGCTGCCATCCTCGCTCCGCGGGGGAAAGTAGCGCTCCTCGCCGCAGAAGATCTGCACCTGACTAGTTGAGAGCAAAAGATGGGAGGAATCGTAGTGAAGATTGGAGTATACAAGGACCTTAGGGATACCGCTTCTTTTTGAAGATGAAAATGATTCCAAAGAAACTTGGCTTCAGACTTGAACTTCACTCCACTGCAACTAAGGGAAAGTGACCTTTTAGCACAACTATGGGCTGATTTGGATTGGGTCAAGGGTTGAAACCTGGATGAATCAGCTTGAAAGTTTGATTGCAAGAGTTGGGTGTGGCTCACACTTGGGTACCCAAGAATGAAAAAGATTATCCATCCCTTCCCCCTAATATCAAATCCCCTAGAAACCCTGGCTTATAATTGGATGTATTCATTCTGGGACCCATATGGGGGTGTTGAACGGACTACTCGCGGAAAATCTTTGTCTTTGGGTCAAACGATCCATTGCTTTGTTAGCTCCCCCCTTTTTGGCTCAGTCCCCATTTCGTGAACTCCCCAGTTTCATTGGTTACAGACCCATCTTGCAGAAGTTCTGACCCCATTTGGATGCTGTCCAAAACTTGGCTTTACCCTAAAATCCCATGGCTAAAGACCCATGGGTTCAACCTCATTTCCGCATTAAAATGGACCAAAAATGTGTTGGACCCGCACCTTGTCTAAGCCCGTGTGCAGCTGTGGAGGCACGGTCTCCATGAGGATGCCAGCTGCCTGCCTGGAAGGCTTGGGGGGTTGCCTTCAAGATCTACGTCATTGTTGGTTTGAGTACATGTGTATGTATGTACATGTATATATATATACATATATATATATACATATATATATATTATATATATTATATATATTATATATATTATATATATTATATATATACATAAAATCACATGACACTCTATTGACAAGGACAAGCTGTTGGGTTCATATGAAAAACTTCAGGGTATTCTTGCAGATCCTCTACAAAAATGACCTTTTGAAGTGGAAATCACTGTTTGACGACCAAACAGTGATGTTTACCCCATCCCAAAAATGGGAAACTATGATGACCCTCGACAGGCTTATTCTTGTTATCAAGCACCATTTCGAGATGATTACCCCTGCGGCCCCTTTCCCAAAGTTGAATGCCATCCTCAAAATGGTGAGTGTCCATTTTCAGAGGCGTAATCAATACTACGACAGGTTTGGTGACACTGAAAGTCAGTGCCTGAATACACACTGTTGGACATCGAAAGTTGGGCAAAGACTCATAATTTGACCACGGGGCCCTGGAACTGGAAAAGCAAACCATGGTATCTTTGGTCTGCAAGATCCATCGGGGCACAACTGTCTATACTGTCCTGTGTTTTCAAGTGGGACATTTCAGTCCATTGGTTTCCACTGGCCTAAAATTGATACATAATTCCAATCCAACATCAACCAAGGGGCAATGATTCAATAACAGGTCTAGGAACTCGGTGATCATCCTATACATCTGTGCATTGATTCATTAAGCTATCTATGCGGATACATATCTATATATATATACACATATTGCCATAGATATGTTTAGATATAAACTCCAGTGGAGCCTGGAGCCTTACACTCACGTATACTAAATATACCTACAGAATGTGTATAAGCTTGTATGAGTGTATAGTAACTGCATAGTATTACATAATACACCATGTCACATTTGGTACATATCCCTGACACTGTACCCTGGTTCACACCATGCCTCAGATACTCGACCTTGTTTCTGATGGGACTCTTTCGTCGGTTCATCTGAAACCTCGCCGTCATGTAGGCACCTGGCTGGGCTGGTGGCCTTACCCAGCAAACAAACGTGGCCATGGGAAATCCATGGGAAATCCCCGATCAAAATGGAGGTTTTCATGGGAAAATCGTCTATGATTGCCATGGTCATCTTTGATTGCCGGAGGTACCCCCTTAAAAGCATGAAGTTTCTCAAAAAAAAACACGGAAAAGGAATCCCAGAACCCCCTGAGACTCCGGGCCGAAGCCAGCTGAAAAGTAGAGGCCTCAGACGTAGACGTGGCGGCGAAAAGTCTTTGGATCGGCCATCTTGGAACTAAAAACTAAACATCTCCTAAATGGTCCCAATAAATCCCTACTAAACCATGGTTTCATAACCTGGCTGTTTAATTTGGGGTGTTTAAAAACCTGTCCGGCATCTGGGGACTCCCAACAAGCGAAGAGCGGCACAGGCAATCCAGCCTGCCATTGAGAATTGAGTCCACGGCTCTGTGGATGCGGCCCCTGTGAATGCGCTAGTTCTGGATCGTTACGTGTATATTTATCTTTGTATTTATCTATTTATTTATTTATTTATTTATTTATTTTTTTTTTATTTATTTATTTATTTATTTATTTATGTATATATCTATTTATATATTCATTCACTCGTTGATTTATTTATTCATCTGAATCTAATTAATTAAATTAATTTATATAATATGTAGAATATATTATCCCCCTGCTTTCTACTTAACTTACCGTTTCTGGTTGGTTACATTCCCGTCCATTTTCTTGCTTTCCAGATTATGCTCATCAGGAACTGACCTTTTCCCCAGTTGGTCTTACCGAAACAGCGGTCTGGTTCCTGCCGACATCCCGACCAAATCACGACCCTACTACCATCGAGTTTCTCCTGGATGTGTTTGAAAACGGAGTATACCCCCCAGTTGTGGCTATTTCAATGGTGAATCATCACAATTAACCAGTGGCTTTTAGGGGTTTTCCCCGGTTTTCCCCTAAAATTTCATGTATCAGACTAAACATCATCTTGTAGTTTTTTCATCCCATAGAAATATCCCAATTGTCATCGTTCCAGTCGTTATCCCCAAGCTATCCCCATGTGATCCCCATGTGATCCCCATGTGATCCCCAGATCCACCCGTCATTGGTCGGATCCGGGAGACCGGGCCTCCTTCATCATCAGGTGCTTCGCTCCACCCTCCAGTTGCACCTTGGGATCCATGCCGCGATGACCTGGCGGATGAGGGACCCCAAAGGGACCAAAAAAAAAAACGGGTGAAACTCCATGGTGTTGGATAGTTTGCCCTGGATTTTCTAAAAGCAGCCAAATCTGAGGCCAGGAAAACCAACCAAAATGAGTTGATGCAACTAGCAGTGTCCACCTCCAAGCTCGCAGAGCTTGAAGTCACAGCGATCTTGACCAGGCTCAGGCACCTTGCAGCCAATTTAAAGCTGGCCCTTTGATCAAGAGCTTCAAAGAATGGGGAAATGATGGGAAATGGATAAAGACTTATGTTTGTTGAGATTGACATGGAAAGTTGAAAATTGACTTGCATCCTCATACTCATCGTCATCAATCTGCCCTTTGAGCCACAAATTGCAAAGGCTGAAAGAAACGGCAAGCTTCATACATCGAATCCTGAACTACTAGTCAGTTACTAGTCATACATCATCATGAATTGTCAATCATTTCAGTTTCAAGACCCATGTTTCTTCCCCCGACAGAGACGGCCAGGCTGAGACCCCTACGATTCCAAAAATATCAAAATTCACCACGGAGGACTCTGGACCTTGGGTCCAGAATGAGATCCTCCCAATGACTCAGTTGGCAACTTATCATCACTTGGATCCCATCCAAATTGATGTGGTGCACCCGATAATTAATAAACCTACCATTTGGGGATGATAGCTCCAACCCATTTATGGTGAGTTTGGGGATTATTAACGACATTTTATAATTATTAAAAATATATATATATATACTATTATTGGGTTTACCACATTAGACGATGCCAATAATGGTATTGGTTCTCCTCCAAAGAGGTATCCGATTGTTTGAACTAGCATGGAGGGGCGTGTTCCCAAGATTATGGTTTCTATATCTGACGAGTTAAGTGAGCTGTTCATTGGTCAGGTGTCGTCACCTCTGACTCCAGTGGCCTGGAAAAACCCGAGCTTCGCGCTAATCGCAGCCTCGATCCAATTCATCAGGGCATCCTTAGCATGTCTCCTGGCAGTGGATCGCACCAAACATCATGTGTGAATTGTGGTCTGTGGATAGCTATGGTCTCGGTTCATCGCACCTTTTTGTTGGTCATATCCCCCGATCTTTGCACATGTCACTGTGATTGTTTGTGATACAGTATCCAGAGTGCTGTTGATGGTATACTCTGACTCCCCAAAAGTCACCTTGTTATTGTGGGGTTAGCCACAGTTCAACCGCCACTTCCTGCTGATGCGTTGAACCACAGAATCATACTGATTTAACCACGGTTTTTTTCACGCAACAAATAACCACAATCTACAAAATTATGTGTATATGTATACATATATTACACACACTATCAACTACAATCAACTACATATACTATATATATATATGGTTGTTGATCAAAAATCTTTTATCCGGGAACGGCCATTCTTCGCGAATAAAGATGTTTTTTTCGCGAAAAACTTTCGCGAACTCCATGTTTATCTTTCGCGGAACCTATGTTACGCAATCATGATATCCAACGTTCGCGAAACTTTCGCGGAAAAAAAAATGTTACTTTCGGGGCTCGAAAAAAAAAAAACTTTTGCGAGGGTTTCCAACATAACATGCACGGCTTTCGCAATTAAAACTCCTTACAAGGACCTTTAGATCGACCACCATATATATATATATATATATATGTGTATACATTATCATTTTTTATGCATAAAGACCCCACTTTGGTCCACCACCTACTCCCCAGAATCCTCCAGTCTAGCTTGAAGCGGCTTTCGGCATCTCCCGGGTATTTTCGGCCCCAGCCTCGGTACAAGTTGGAGGTGAACAAGAAATAGGCCACTTATGGGAGTTCATAATGCTTAATATATGTTCATATTTGTTAATATAGAGATTAATATATGGATTAATATATGGATCAATATATGGATTAATATATGGATTAATATGGGAGTTATAGACATAGTTCTTGCGAACTCTTGGAATATGCAAATGTTCAACAATGTTCTATGAAAATTCTTTCTGAATTTATCGCATGTTCTGTCAGACATTCTATGAAAGCCCACTTGTTGATTCTATTCAAATTCCCAAAATGAATCAAGATGAGCTATTGCAGGGTGCCAATTGGTTCATATGTCGGGATTCAGACTTTTACGTGTGGTCAAATGGTGGGAAATACATGGAATCATGGCCGAATCGAACTGCAACTGACGAAAGGGAAGCCGGGATATGCACGGTTGTCTTTTTTGGTTGTGTCAATCGTCTTTCTCTTGGCCGACTCCGAATCCATCAGATTTTACCCTAAAAATCAAGCGAAATTCCGGCCATGTTTGATTCCCAAAGGGCAGCCCAAAAGTCATGGTGCTGCCACAGCCACCTAAGGTTCGCCCGAAGTCGTTGGCTGAGCCTGGCCAGATCACCCTGTCAGGTCAAACAGAGTAGAAATTGACTAGAAACATCTAGAAACTGCCTGGAACAGGAATGGACCTCTAAAGAATCAGCTCGTACCCAATCAATTTACAAAAATGTCCAGGGTGTAGCAAATCACTCCAACAAGATCCAATCTCTGAAAAGAAGAATAAAAAACATGGGTCATGTGACATGTGCCTCTGTGTGAGATTGTGCGAGTCAATCTGACTCAACACGGGAAAATAACAAACAAAATGTCGATCACGGGCTACTCAATCCCCTGGCCCAGAGGCAAGGGTGCAGGGTCTGAGGTCAAATTGGCCACTTGTTAAAAAGGAGAATCTATGGCAAACCATTATCTCTACATGTATTTACGCTGAAATTTAGAAGTTTCGGGAAATTCCTCCCCTCATCCGATCTTGGGATAGGTTGGTGAACATCGGAGCATAAACTCCAGAGTTTTGACTTTGGATACCAGAGATTGTCGAGACCCAGTGCAAATCTACCTTGGGTAAGGGTCACGTCATTGAGCACACCCAACACATCCCAACACTAAATGATCCAACTGGTCAATGCTTGAAATGACCTGTCAATTTCTGGTTCCCAGTGGGTCTCAAATGTTTTTCCGTATCTATATCTCGTTCCAGCGGACTATTGATTCCATAGTTTATCATGTTTAAAATTGTTGATTTGCCTAATTCTGATGCTTATTTCAATGAGTGACAACTTGGCATCCAAATTCCAATGATGCTGTACCCACCTCTGCCAGTCAAACACTTCAAAAGGATTCAAAAGGTTGTTATAGCGACCCCCCAGGGCCATGTCGCCTAACGGCATCTGCGCCAACGCTGGGAAAAAGTCGGCCATCTCCTGGTCCGTCCAGATGAAGCCATTGCCGGTGTCTTGCAGGCCCTGAATCGAAACGATGGCAGGTCCCATGGCAAACACCAAATGAACATCAGCCGTGAAACACGGGGAATATAGTTTCGAAATATGTTCGGGAAAACAATTTCAAGATTCTAAGATGCATGAGTGAATACACATTTGAAGATATCAGAGAATCAGATAGAATCAGAACATTCCCAAAAAAATGATGACTTCTATGAGCAATCCAATCAACAACATGGACAACATCGTTTTTCATCAAACGGTGATGCACATCCAGGTCACCTCGTCCGCGCGCGAGTCGTCGGCTCGCAGCGCGGCGAAGATCATGAAGAGAGTGAAGGAGGCCGTGCCGTCACCGCCACCTGGGCCGCCACCATTCTCGGTACAGCTGAGATTTGGGAGTACAACCTGACACTATCCTGGTGGTTTTTTCTGGTTTTGAAGTCCGAAAAAGTGTGCCAAAACTGAGGAAATGAAATAGTGGGATGTGAACTAGTGACCTGTGTTTTGGGGGTAGATTTGGGTTTGTCACATCTACACAGAGACAAAACTCAGGGGGATCAAAGAACGGACGGACTTTGATGTATGTTCTAGGTCCCAATTGCCCCATAGACCTGGTCATGGTATGAGAATATACAAATTGTGCCTGCTGGCACCATCTTTGACCGGGAGCATCATTTGCACACTGTTGGAAAAAAGAAACATATGTATTAATTGCGTGTATCTGTGCTATAAATTGACGTGTATGTGTGTGTGTGTACATATTGTATATTATATATATACATACACATATGCATAGATACAACCATCTTCCCGGTCGTCGACACCCAAAAGAACAATATGGCAGAAACAATCAATTGCAGCCTTCTACCAACTGAAAATGTCCATCTTCGTGAACATCCACCCCATCTGATTGCTTCCTTTAGCACCAATCAAGGCTTTGCCAGTAGTGAAACAACTTGGCTTTCGCCGTCCAATTCCAAGTTCCTACTCCAATGCTTAAGAATCCCTATCTCTGCTTATCTTAACTCCTCAAGTTCTTGGGTGAAATGTCCATCTGCTGCTCAAATCCTCATTTTGCCTAGTGAAATCCCCATATCTTTGCTTAACAAAAACCCAGCAACTCCCCCTTCCCCACCTGAGATCACTCGCGGCCGATGCCCCAAGGCTTTGGCTTCTGCTTTGGCAGCGCAGAGCTCCCGGCGCAACAGATCCAACAGGCCGCCGCGGCGCTGGTCGCGCACCACGTCGATGATGTTGAAAAAACGGTCCTGGATGGTGAAATCATCGAACTAAATGGGGATCATTGGATCATTGGGATATGGGATGTATATTATATTTTATGTGTATGTATATATATATATATGGTATATCATGATATCATATCATGGGAATTTCATTATGGATATCATGGTTTAAAATGGTGATATATTGGGGGATATATTGGGGGATATAACGGGGTAGGGATAGATTATTTTCGGGTGGAATATACAGCAATAGGATAATGATGGGGATACGTTGATCAGCATTAGTGGGGAAAATATTGGGGTTTCCTAGTATATAATGATGGGGGTAGAGCATTTTCTGACAAAATCATGTGGGGAATGATGGGGATATGATGGGATAAAATGGCAAATTTAGAATGGAGATACTATAGGGATAGATTAAACAGCAATATCGTGTGATATGTATCATGTCACAAGGAATATTTGATCTCTTTGTATGTGTTATACTTATCGGTGTTTTTGTATAGTATATTTCAAAACATGGCACGGAAATAAAATAAACTATAGGTTAAAATACATGTATATGTTTCCTAGTGTGGATCCAGTATTGATCCAGTAGATACAAATAAATGAATCAATCAATTCGAGATCATTCGCCAACCAAGATCAATTCAGTGAGGGATCAGTTGCTATCAATTTAAGCCTGACTTGGACGCATGTGCTTGCTGATTTGTATGTCCTTAATACGACGTTGTGACCAGGGTTCCAAACAACTTGCAACAATTGATCTGGGGTCACTTCCAACCTTGCTAAACTATGCTTGGTGGTTGAAAAAAGGAAGCATTTGAAGCCGGCACTAACCAAAAATCGGAGGCAAAATGAGACCACGATGAGATGAATGGAACCCATGATGGGATTTGATGCCGTAGGCTGAGAAGGCCATGATATGTCAATGAGTCAAGCCCCGGTGTTCCAAGAAATTGGATACATCCAATTTCAATGACCAACGCTGTTTGGCCCCTGAGTCTTCAACGGGGACCCAGGTAGCCAAAGGGCTTCAGGTGAACAAAATGATGAGCCCAGGTACAACACATTGACATGGGGGTAGAACTCACGTACTAACCAGTCCCTTCCATGGCACATCCAAATGTAGCAGTCCGACCTGGAAATTCTTGTTTTGTCAACTACTGCATCCATACACACCACCTTTGCAGTGTCGGGGGGTACCACTTAAACAGCATGGGGGAAGTCTATCAGAAGCCCATCTGTGGAAGGCACAGGTTGCCATAACCAGGGCTGGCATTATGGTTGCATTTAAATATATTATCAGAAACAAAACTATCTCTGCATCTAAGATCATCTAACTATAGGCTGCCGGCAACTAACTGGGTCCTGATAGTAAGGTGTCTGCCTCGCAATGGACAAGATATCTGATCCGGCCATGGCACCTAGCGGCTAGGTAACCATCACTTGTGGGGGCCTTAGTGGCCTATGTATGATGTTATCTGTTGGAGGAACATCAATACATAGTAAGAACAGGATATGTGTCTGCATAGAAAGTATGCAATCATCAACAATCAAAAATGGGGATATGTCCAACACAAAAAGAATATACTGGTAGCTGGTTTAAACCAAGAACAACTGGGCATGGATCATTGTTTGGGAGACAGCCGCCACAAGCTCGTGTCATGTCTTAGTTTTGAAGATACAAGTTTGGGGTACCGATCTTGACAAATGGTGCTGAGTCCGAACTCATCCGTCATGAGAAGTAGTACGTTGTCACAAGCTGTGGTCCAATTTCATCCACTAGGGTTTAATGTATCTGGGTTGACATTGATACTATCGGAGGGATTTAGTGCTGATTCAAGGAAACAAAACCACCCCAACATACCTCAACCACGGCCAGGGCATGGCCCGCGTTGGGGAGTGGAAGGGGTCTCAACGATCCTCAGACCCAGCGAAATCTGGACCGGGCCACCTGCAAAGGGGTTGATAAGCGCCTCAAGACGGTCAGCTGGGTCATCGGAAAAACTTGTTGTGTCTCTGTGTAGATAAGAGATATGGTGTTATGTATAGCAAAAAAAATGCATACGGTGTGATTGAATGATTTGAATGTTTTTGATTGCTTAGTCCACTGCTTTACAGCTTAAACTGCATATCTATTCAACTTATCTTACTTATTGTATTTATATAGATGTATTTAGTTGGTTAATCTAATTATCTGTTTGTGTCTCAAAAAGGTCATTGCCAGCATCTGTCTGCACGATGTTTCAGGACCATTGTTAGGTCGTCTAATGCCAAAGTCAACAGGGTTCCTGACGTATCCCCCGTAAACATCATGTCTGGGGAATTTCAGTGAATCACAATCAATCCACATCAATCATTACTCACCCCACAAAAGCTGATATCAATGACTATTCAGACTATTCAGACCTACCAAAACCTCTGGCTAAATCACAGCCATAACCGTTCACAGACCCGAGACTCTCGGTGATAATGAGGTGATTCTCCCACTACAAACTATCTATGATCATCTATGTTGAGGTCGTGAGGTTGTTAGGGTATTCCCAGGATTTCCCAGGTTCAGGCCCGAGGAACCAGTACAGGAACATGCTCATCTTTGTTGAAGTGGGGCAGGCGTGTGTCGGTGCCGTAGCGGTTGGCTGGCAACGCATCCTGAGAATTGTCGGCTTTCCGGGTGTTCAGCTTGGCAGGGGACATAGTCTAGTGGGATAAAAAACGAATATCACAAATTGTGGATACCACCAACTAGCAAAAATGTTGCAGCTGAACCTACCCTACTGAAATACCTTCCAACATGGTTCACTGGAAAATTCACCATGTTAGATGAGCTTCCTATTCCCATGAAAAAACTCATGGTAAATTTTGGTAAACTTCACAATCTTGATGGTCAAATTTGACGGCCAAACCATTATATACCTGGGTCACCTTCCCGACCGCCCGGTTTGGTGCTGCCGGGATGACGATTCGCAACGTATCTTTACGCATCTGCTCGTGCGTGCGCTCCAGCAGCTCCTCGAGTTCTCTATGCCTGCGACGGCGAAAGTGCTTGCATGGGACGTTGGACGGCGCAAACATGGCCAGATCCGGTTGTGAAAACTAGCTAATGGTCAGTTTTCTATCTAACACAGTAACGAATTCATCGTTGAATTTCTTTGAACTAGTGAAAACTGGGTCAAATGGGTCAAATGGGAGCTGTTGTTAGAGGGGACCTCTACCAGCAGTGCAGGCCACGGGATCTGAAGAACCGCCCCCAAGGTGCGCCTGGCTACCCGCTCGATCTCTGCCCGTTGCTCCGTCCAGTGGTGTCGGAACTGCCGGAGCACCTGCTCCCAACGGGGCACTGCAAAAGAATCTCAGGTGTTGAGTCATCTGACCCAAAAATGATTATGATAGTAAGAGTAATAGTAATGATAATAGTAATGATGATAAGAATTATAATAGTCACAATAATACTGGTAATAATCATACTAGTGGTAGTAGTAATAATAATCGTAACGAGTCTTCATCATATGATCGTATAATTATAGTAGTGATAATTATCAATAATGAAATAATAATAATAATAACTATAATAAAAATAATACGATAATAGGGAGTATCCGACCCTTGTAATCTCCAAAAACAATGAGGATTTAATCCCTAAAATTCTGAAGAATACTCAGAGATTCTGAGGAATCTAAAATGATTTAGCCAAGAAATGCCATGGGCATTCAATGCAAGTGGTGCTCCAGGAAAAAGCTGAGCTTTACCTAACCACTATTTGAAATTTAAATAAATTTAATAGGAATATTGCACGAAATATGTGGGTTACAGAACCAATGCCAGAACCCCCTTCATTGGTGGGCCTGGTTTCTAATATTCCCCAAATGGTAAAGTTGGCACAGTATTTAAACGGATGTGAGTGGCAGATGGTTTCTGATTGGCCTTACCACACTACCGGGGTTCAACCCAACGAAAAACTGTGGCTACATTCTACATTGAGGCAGCATGTCAGTGCATTGGGTTACTCTCAACAACTTCCAATTAACAGATTGAAGATATAGCTACAAGCCACACGGCCTGGGTAGCACCATCGACTCCACCTGACCTGGAGCTGATGTTTTTTGCATCCCCATGTGAGTGGGTACTGTACAAATATCCCCCTAATTCGTGCAGGTAAACTCAAGTTAAATATCGTAAAATATCACAGTCATATGACTCATATTACCAAAACACATTTTTTTGATGCCTAAATCTGGTAAAATCACAATTTTTTCATGGTGAAATATGGTAAAATCACCCATCACCAAGGTTTTGGACCCGGCAGATGCACCTTCTTCTCTGCATCCGTGGGCTCCCGGCTTGACGACAGGGGCTGATCCGAATCCTTGAGAACGGCTCCCGTGGAAAATATGTAGTATAGCTATGGTACAAATATGCAAATAACAAAACCCTGTAAGAAAGTGTTGCTATATTATATATATATATATACATATACTTATACAGAAATCTGATGTTGATGTTTACTTGTTCTATCTTTTTGTTGAGAATCATCACAAGTGAAAGCCATTTCGATCTCTTTGCACGAGCAGTCAACGAAAAAGATCTCTCTCACTCACCTGGATGAGGATTGAAGACTTCATCAGTCCAAAATGGGGGTTTCCATAGCCATGGTGGTACCCCCATTGATTGATGGTTTAAAATGGAAAATCCTATTAAAATCCTATGAAAATTGATGATTTAGGGGTAGGAACATTTTAGGAAACCTCCAAATAGTCCGAAAGCTGTTGGGGACTTCCACAAAGCATCCTTCACCAAGGGGTAAGAAATCATTTGGAGGCCAAGCAAATTCCCAAATCTGCCAGGCAGCCTTCTTAGGCGAGTCATCTACGATGGAAAAGTCCTGAGTTACTTCGGCAGAAACACGCCCAGGACAGGTTTACTTGGTTTATATTCCCCCCATTAACTATGGATACAGTATACACCATAAACCTTGGTTATTGGAGTTACAAACCAACTTAGCTAACTATGGGGCACCATTTCATGTGAGTTGGGAGTCAACTTTTTCCCTTCACCTGATGCTATCTTTCAGATGTCGCATCAGCTGCAAAGACTGGGACAGTTTTCTTGCAACCCCGATTGGTTTAGATACCATCCAGGCTCACATTTCCATCAGAGGGTCCCTGCACAGTGGAATGGTTTTTATTATCCTTTATATGGGTGTTTTTTGCAGATTAGATGTTTCTTCGGCCTCATACTCATTGTTTTTCTTGAACTGTGAGAAATAAACTCACCAAGTCAAAAACATGGTATATCTCCAATGAGCGAAAATAAGCTGTTTGGCAATGGAATGCATTCATGGCTGTGGGCCAAAACGCTGTGCCCAAACACCAAAATAGCTGGTAAATGGAGGGTTCATTCCCGCAAGCATGGTATAATACGTATTGGTCATCCCCATATGGCTATGTCACCATGTACTAAAATTGGGATCTGACAATTTCTCCATTTACCCCCCGTTGACCGTTGATGATCTGACCCCGCCAGCGAGTTCCCCTCTGCCATTTTGGTGACAAAGTACACCATCTTTAAGTATCGTTCTGTCCTCAATTTCCTGGACATACCATGGTGATCCATTTTGTCATGTTGAGATTGCATCCCCGCATCCCCATCCTTGGTTTCCTGTTGGGTGAAACAACCCCACAGTTTCTCCAGCGCCGAGGGTCGGCGAAGCTGTCAGGATCCTTTGCCTTGCCCAAAAGTGGATATCGTTCCAGGGTTTTTTACCCACAACCATTTGGTAAGGTGTTTGTTGCCCCCCAAAATGAATGGTTTGTGCCAAAATGGACCATGGTCCTAATTCTTGACCCCCAGTGAAGATCCATCATGAACGAACCGAACATGGCCAAACCAGACAGCTGGAGACTGCGGAGAGCAGGAACCAGTTCAGTCTTGAACTGCATTTTAGCATCGCAACTTTGGGTTGCTGGGCTGGTTTTCATGGACGTTCATTGTGGAGCTGTATCTTTCCTATACATCCGTGACCTGGATTATATCATATATATACATATATATATGTGTGTGTATATCTACTGGTTTAATGGAACCAAAAAACATCAGCTGCAACTGGTAGGATCTCATCATCATAAGTTAAGTCTACAGGAGCAGCTCCAACGGTCACCTGATCATCGCCCTGGGTGCGCCTTGTAACTTAGACTTGTAGGCGGATCCTTTTGTCTGACATTCGAGTCTTGCCTTGGTGAACGGCCCACCATCTGACCCTAACGGCTGTTGCAGGATTGTGGATACGGAAGGGTGAGGCCATCGATTTTTGAGAAATTACGGCCGGAAAGGAGGACGTTTGGAGGGTTCTCACCTTTGTTTTTGGGACTGGAAAATGTATGCGTATACATTTATATATATATATATATGTATGTAATGTAATGTAATGTAATGTAATGTCATGTCATGTCATGTCATGTCATGTCATGTCATGTCATGTCATGTATGTATGTATGTATGTATGTATGTATGTATGTGTATTTATATATATATATGTAATATGTATGTATACTAATCTATATATTTATAGACTATTTACATGTATATACAAACATTACAATGTATAATGTATATGTATAATGTATATGTATAATGTATATGTATAATGTATAATGTATATGTATAATGTATACTGTATAATGTATAGTGTATGTATAATGTATATGTATAATGTATATGTATAATGTATAATGTATAATGTATATGTATAATGTATATGTATAATGTATAATGTATATGTATAATGTATACTGTATACTGTATAATGTATATGTATGATGTATATGTATAATGTATAATGTATATGTATAATGTATATGTATAATGTATAATGTATATGTATAATGTATAATGTATACTGTATAATGTATATGTATAATGTATAATGTATAATGTATAATGTATATGTATAATGTATATGTATAATGTATAATGTATATGTATAATGTATAATGTATACTGTATAATGTATATGTATAATGTATAATGTATATGTATAATGTATATGTATAATGCATATGTATAATGTATAATGTATAATGTATATGTATAATGTATATGTATAATGTATATGTATAATGTATAATGTATATGTATAATGTATACTGTATAATGTATATGTATAATGTATATGTATAATGTATATGTATATGTATAATGTATACTGTATAATGTATATGTATAATGTATATGTAAAATGTATATGTATAATGTATATGTATAATGTATAATGTATAATGTATAATGTATAATGTATAATGTATATGTATAATGTATATGTATAATGTATATGTATAATGTATAATGTATATGTATAATGTATATGTATAATGTATATGTATAATGTATAATGTATATGTATAATGTATACTGTATAATGTATATGTATAATGTATATGTATAATGTATATGTATAATGTATAATGTATATGTATAATGTATACTGTATAATGTATATGTATAATGTATATGTATAATGTATAATGTATAATGTATACTGTATAATGTATATGTATAATGTATAATGTATACTGTATAATGTACATGTATAATGTATATGTATAATGTATAATGTATACTGTATAATGTATACTGTATAATGTATATGTATAATGTATATGTATACTGTATAATGTATACTGTATATGTATAATGTATATGTATAATGTATTATGTATATGTATAATGTATACTGTATAATGTATATGTATAATGTATATGTATAATGTATATGTAATGTATATGTATAATGTATATGTATAATGTATATGTATAATGTATATGTATAATGTATATGTATAATGTATAATGTATATGTATAATGTATATGTATAATGTATATGTATAATGTATATGTATAATGTATGTGTATAATGTATATGTATAATGTATATGTATAATGTATATGTATAATGTATATACTGTATAATGTATATGTAATGTATATGTATAATGTATATGTATAATGTATATGTATAATGTATAATGTATAATGTATATGTATATGTATAATGTATATGTATAATGTATATGTAATGTATATGTATAATGTATAATGTATATGTATAATGTATACTGTATAATGTATATGTATAATGTATATGTATAATGTATATGTATAATGTATATGTATAATGTATATGTATATGTATAATGTATACTGTATAATGTATATGTATAATGTATATGTATAATGTATATGTATAATAATGTATAATGTATATGTATAATGTATAATGTATAATGTATAATGTATATGTATAATGTATATGTATAATGTATATGTATAATGTATAATGTATATGTATACTGTATAATGTATATGTATAATGTATATGTATAATGTATATGTATAATGTAATGTATATGTATAATGTATACTGTATAATGTATATGTATAATGTATATGTATATGTATAATGTATAATGTATACTGTATAATGTATATGTATAATGTATAATGTATACTGTATAATGTATACTGTATAATGTATATGTATAATGTATATGTATAATGTATATGTATAATGTATATGTATAATGTATATGTATAATGTATATGTATAATGTATATGTATAATGTATATGTATAATGTATAATGTATAATGTATATGTATAATGTATATGTATAATGTATATGTATAATGTATGTATAATGTATATGTATAATGTATATGTATAATGTATATGTATAATGTATATGTATAATGTATATGTATAATGTATATGTATAATGTATATGTATAATGTATATGTATAATGTATATGTATAATGTATATGTATAATGTATATGTATAATGTATAATGTATAATGTATACTGTATAATGTATACTGTATAATGTATATGTATAATGTATATGTATAATGTATATGTATAATGTATATGTATAATGTATATGTATAATGTATAATGTATAATGTATACTGTATAATGTATACTGTATAATGTATATGTATAATGTATATGTATAATGTATATGTATAATGTATATGTATAATGTATATGTATAATGTATAATGTATACTGTATAATGTATAATGTATATGTATAATGTATATGTATAATGTATATGTATAATGTATATGTAAAATGTATATGTATAATGTATATGTATAATGTATATGTATAATGTATATGTATAATGTATATGTATAATGTATATGTATAATGTATATGTATGTGTATGTGTATTTATAGTTGTATATAGTTGTGTGATTTGGTTTGTCTCAAACTGGGGGATGCCCCAATCAATCCATGACCATCCAAAAATTGGAAAATGATGCTAAATCCAACAGGATGGAATGTGATTCAAAAGCTCAAGAGAAACAAGTAAATGTATATATATAATATAACATGTATATAAAATATTTGATATAATATATTTAATACGATATGATATAAATATAATATATATGTAATATAATATATATATATACATGACATATGTGGTCCCAAAAAAAACAGATGCAATGTTTGGCAAAGCAAATCCACAGAATTTTCTCATACGTGCTGTGTTTGCAGATTCAATTACCTCATTTGGGTTTGTCCAGAATCCAGAAATATCCTAAAAAGGTCCATTTTGATGGAGAAATCATCCTAAATTCCTAGATTCTGAACACGTTTCTCATAGGTTAACCCCCCATTCTTTTTGGTGAAGTCCACCTCCTGGCTGTTTCGACCTCCATTTTTCAGGGCTAAATTCTCATTTTGTCAACTCCCAAATAATCCAAAATGTTGGCCAAGTATATCCCGTCCACTGTGGAACCCTCCCAGGAATATCACGACATCCCAGCGGCAAAAGCATAGGCAACGCGCCGTCGGCGCTGCCCGTGGTTGACTCGTCCAAGTCCGACTGGACCGATTCGCTGTCCTGGGGCACCGAGGAAAGAACCAGGGACTTGAACCAACCAAGGGATATGTGGTATCTGTATGTGTAAATATGTGTGTGTATGTATATATATATATCTATAGACAGTATACATACGCAAAATACGTGTACATATATATATGTGCATACACTATACACAAATGCTACCTATATTAAAATGTCTATAAAATATACATATGTGAAGGGGATTCGGAAGGAATCTTCAGCCGTCAAATAGTACAGAAAGGTCTCTCAAACATGTACATATACATATTACATGTGTATATATATATACATGTATATATATATATATATATTTATATATATATGTACATGTATATGTATATGCATGTGTATATGTATATGTATATGTATATGTACATGCATGTGTATATGTATGTGTATATGTATATGTATATGTATATGTATATGTATATGTGTATGTATGTATGTATATGTATGTATGTGTATGTATGTCTGTCTGTCTGTCTGTATGTCTGTATGTCCGTCTGTCTGTCTGTCTGTATGTATGTATGTTAGTTATGTATGTATGTATGTATGTATGTATGTATGTAGGTAGGTAGGTAGGTAGGTAGGTATGTAGGTATGTAGGTATGTAGGTATGTAGGTATGTAGGTAGGTAGGCAGGTAGGCAGGTATGTAGGTATGTAACTATGTAACTATGTAACTATGTAACTATGTAACTATGTATGCATGTATGTATGTATGTATGTATGATGTATTTGTATGTATTTGTATGTATTTGTATGTATTTATATGTATTCATATCTATTTATGTATTTATATGTATTTATATGTATTTATATGTATTTATATGTATTTATATGTATTTATATGTATGTATATATGTATGTATATATGTATGTATCTATGTATGTATGTATGTATGTATGTATGTATATGTATATGTATTTATGTATTTATGTATTTATATGTATGTATATGTATTTATATGTATTTATATGTATTTATATGTATGTATATGTATGTATATGTATGTATATGTATGTATATGTATGTATATGTATGTATGTATGTATGTAGGTATGTAGGTATGCAGGTATGTAGGTATGTAGGTATGTAGGTATGTATGTATATTATTATGTATGTAGGTATGTAGGTATGTAGGTATGTAGGTATGTAGGTATGTAGGTAGGTAGGTAGGTATGTAGGTATGTAGGTATGTAGGTATGCAGGTATGCAGGTATGCAGGTATGCAGGTATGCAGGTATGCAGGTATGCAGGTATGCAGGTATGCAGGTATGCAGGTATGCAGGTATGCTGGTATGCAGGTATGCAGGTATGCAGGTATGCAGGTATGCAGGTATGCAGGTATGCAGGTATGCAGGTATGCAGGTATGCAGGTATGCAGGTATGCAGGTATGCAGGTATGCAGGTATGCAGGTATGCAGGTATGCAGGTATGCAGGTATGCAGGTATGCAATCATGCAGGTATGCAGGTATGCAGGTATGCAGGTATGCAGGTATGCAGGTATGTAGGTATGTAGGTATGTAGGTATGTAGGTATGTAGGTATGTAGGTATGTAGGTATGTAGGTATGTAGGTATGTATGTATGTTTGTTTGTATGTTTGTATGTTTGTATGTATTTGTATGTATTTGTATGTATTTGTATGTATTTGTATGCATGTGTATGTATTTGTATGTATTTGTATGTATTTGTGTGTATTCGTATGTATTCGTATGTATTCGTATGTATTTGTATGTATTTATATGTATTTATATGTATACAGATCTTGATCTAGGTATGCTTTGGAATTGGAGATAGGGTCACCGAACAAAACGGAAATGATGGAGGAATCTGGTACTGGGTCAATCGTAAGGCCTAGTTCCACAAGTGTACTGGTTACCTTTAGTATTAACCCTGGCTAATTTGATCCGAAAATGGGATGGCTCGATTTGTTGTAGTGGGCTGGTTTTGACACCTCCGAACTCAACCCCAGAAGAATCACCAATACCTAAATGGAAATTGAGCATATGCTGTGGGCTGGGCATTGGCCCCTTTAGCCTTGGCATTCATGATGGCTACAGGATGCTACAGATGTGCTGGCGTTGCCTCTTTTGTGATTTCATCCGGCCACATGGATCAAACCATGCCCCCAAGAAATAAAATGCGCTCAACCATCAGTTTGATGTCTGTAGTTCTTCCTCACCAAGCTCCCCCCAAGGGCCAAGGCTATCCAAGTTTCCCATGCGCGGGGGGATTTTTAACTCACCCGTCCACGACTGATGTCACAGCTATTCTCCAAAATCGAGCCAAAGGGCAGCGCAGTGCAACTGGGAGGGTTGGTCAAAGACCCAGTAGCTTGAACACCAGGAATAGTCCGTCCGACTTGGTGTTTTTGTTGGTTGGAATCCAAGTCTTTTCGGTCTTGGCTAGCCAAAACCCCTTTCTCAGGATTGCTGGTTTACAGCACCCGGTTCCTAGAGTGTGTGTCCCCTTGTCCTCTTGATACAATTCAAGACTCGGTCTGGCAGTTTCCAGATGGATAGTCGTGTTCTATAAGAACTACACTCGCATTCTTGGGTATACCCAATTTTCCACACACGCAGATATCGCTGATATCATCCTATACCCATAAGTTCCTTGACTCAAATGCCGTAACCCAACAATATACTCCAACGTTTTGCTTCAGGCTTATTCTTATCTTCCCAAATGGAGAAAAAAAGCACTCAGTACCGGTAAATAAACTAATAAACCTCCAACTATGGATTGTTTATACCACCCATTTCTGGAAAATGTGGCATGGTGTATTGTTGGGCATCATATTAGACCATTGAATAATTAACAATCATGACCCAAGCGCCACCCTGCACTCAGGCCCCTTGACTCGCAGCAGGCATCCGCGTTGAGGCTGGAGATGTTCATAGCGCCAGAGCGCAAGACTTGGCCTCCGAAGAGAGCGCTGGGGGTTGCTTGCGGGCTGCTGGCTGCGGGGGCGGATCGGTATGGATTGGGTGATTCTGTTTCATATATACATGGTGTATATATATATATATACATGGTATATATATATATATGTTAACATGGTATATATCGTATATATGGTGTGGTATGGTGATTTAGGAAGTGCATGGGTTTTTCGATTTGCGGTTCCTAGCACAAAAGATTGGAAGTCCTGCATTTGTTTCATAAAACTTTTGGCAATTTCTAGTATATTCTTTATCTGTGAACAAATCCACTGAGGGGTGGTGTGGCATTGACCAATAGGAGATGAAGCAAAGAAAATTGGGACAAACCAGCGATCTACCCGAAAACATGGAATGTTTGAGCAGCCTACGCTTGATATTTACCAACGGGGATAGAATATGGAAGAACAAATGCGGGATATGTATCAACAAGCAAAAACAATAGTATTTAGCCAATTCAAATGAGATCAAAATGGTGTTCTGGAAATCTGGCACCCAGAACGGCACTGTCACCATGACGATGATCACATGTCCAGCCGGGTTCCAGTTCCCCTCATTGACCACATCTAGAATGAGTCAAAATGGTGGGCCCAAAACACTAGCGACTTCCTCTTGCTTTTTCATGAGTCGAGGGTCTGGGTCACCGGCGACACCTACTGTGGGACAACATTATTGGGAAAAATGACTGTTTCAGGTCTTAGGAAAGTCAAGAACTAAGATGCCTCTCCAAAAGCATGTTGTCTTTCCCCCACATTTCTCCAAGTTTTGCTATGCGGGTTTGTTCCAAAATTGGGTATACCCCACAAAATAGCAGTTTCAATAATACTGTAATACTCTATAAAGTAACTAAAGATACGTTGGGGTAGCCCATGGACAAACCCATGCCCACCTGCAGGGCATTGGTATCCCTGACAGCTGGAATCGCAGCAGGCTTTATCCGAGGCAGCTACCTCACCCGGCAGATCGACAGTTGCTGGGATGATCCAAGTACAACAGGTAAATCTGCCATGAAGCCAGCAAGAATTGCTGCCCAAACCATTTGGCAGATTCATCTTTGGGAGATTTCATTCTACATTACCTGATTTTTTTCGGTCATAGCTACTTGAGTCCCATCCTTAGGTTCCTGCTTTCGACAGCTTGCTTTTCTGAGTGCCTTGGTTGCCAAACGGCCCCAAGGTTGACAGCTGGTGCGAGGAAGTCAGAATCATTGTGAAAGCGTTGAGCTGAAATTCTGTACCCGCCCCTACCTGCCTGGCCTGTCTCTCTATCTTTACATGATCCAAGGGGCTGTTGAACCAGCCAGCACCACAGTTGTGCAGGGCACAGGTTTCGAGGCAGCAATCTTTGTCTCTCAAAGAAGCTGACACGAAGGGCTCCTCAGCAACGAATCATCCCCTGGTGAGTTTGCCCCCACGATTGGGTGCCTATTTAAAGGATGATACACCAGCAAAATTTGGGTGTATATATCTACTGTATATCCTATTTTCAGACAAACCCTCGTGCTGTCTAGGATTTTGGAGGGATGAGTGGGGATGTGGTTCATGACCGTCCAGACTGGAATGTTTGCGGGGCAAGAAACCCATTCTTAACACTCATGTCACTGTCACTAATGCCATTCATGCTCGATGTCACAGATTGCTTCAGAAGATGAACATACGTCGCACGGTCCATGGCAGCTTGCAGGAGCTTAACTCACCCGGAATAGGAGCTTAACATTCGTCGTAGACAAGGTTCGCCCACGTCATGTCCAGACATCACGTTGGGTCGGGACACACGCCAGGTGGGACAAGATCAGAATCACCAGTCATTAATGGCATATTCAGTGTTTGTTGGTTGTATCTTCATGTGTTCGGTCTATCTCCCAACGTGCGTTGGACGGGGCAAACACTATCTCGAGTTGATTGATGATATCCTTCTGTTGGACTCAGTTCGATGCAAGCTATTGCCATTTAAACATCAGATGAGCATGGAATTTGAATTTCCGATTTGGTCAGTTGATGTCAGTTGTAAACCAACCATATCTCTTGAGTCTCTTGAGACTCCCGGCAGCCACTGAATTCTTTACCCAGCCTCGGTACTGACAGTTCAAAACAGATCGATGTCGCGCTGGTGCAAAACTCCCCGTGCAGATTGCAAGGTGAAAAAATATGCAAAATGAAAAAATAAGTCAAGTGATGTCAAGTGGAAAGTCTTTCCTCCTAGTTACCTAGTTCATCCTTCTGGAACAGTACGAAATTCCAAACTCGATGTATCAAACTTTGTCAATTCCACAGCCAGGTGACCAGGTGAGCATTTGAAGGCTTTGCAAGTAGGCAGGCAGCATCCATGTGCCTGAAAAAATGGCCAAGTCATGCCAAGTCCATTTTTAAAGTCATGGATGGCAACCTAAATTGTCCAGCTTCCATGTGAAAACTCCGGGGATCAAGCTCACTTTTAAGGTTTGTGGTTGGCCTACAATTCGCAGGATGCTGCAGTTGCCGGTTGCCAGGAGAATCCCCCAGTCGAACTGTCTGCTTTCTCCCTCATAGCAGGTGGCCCCCCTATCTCTAAATGGCATGGGGATGACCATCCCGATCACAGCCCAAGAGGAGATAGACATTTATGTCACTATATGTCACTTATGTCTGTGATGTCACTTATGAGGTCCCACATCCCGTTTTGTTTTTGTTGGACCACCTTCAACAAGCATCACTAAGTTTCCAGAACTGTCAACTGTCCCATTGTTGGTTTCCTGCAGATTTGCCCTGTCTTTCGAACCTAATGAAATCCTCCCGATTTCCAGAGATCAATGGTCTATATCTCATCCACATGTCTGGTGGGTTTTCCAGCAGGTTACGGTTTTTCCCAGTTGGGACGGCCTTGGAAACGAGGTATGAGGTCTTCGTCGGGTGATGAAGATAGCCCGCAGGGCACGTGACTCCTAGCGATGGCTCGTGGAGTGAGCTTGGCACTTCTCCACCGCGCATGAAACGCGCGCCTACGTGGTCGCAATAAATAAATGAACAAGCAGGAAGGAAGCTGAAAAGGCCTGTAGCTAGAAATCGTATCTCCACCTTAGATACATCAATACAGTTTCATAGTTTGACTACAGCTACATCTACATCCACATGCATCGCACCTTGCCCAACCCTGACACCCATCCCCCCATCACTCCAGAACACACTGGCTCGCAGCATTTGCCACGAAAGTCAGTGGCGGTGGCCGACTGGCGAGCATTAAGATCTGTCTGGCTCACTCAGTTGGAGGCTAAAGCACTGGCAGTTGAGACACCGAGTATTACCGAGTTGAAACAACGTGGGTTTGGTGCCTTCAATTTGCTCAATCCACTCCGGCGAAGATTCGTCCGCTTGGTATATATCTCCAGCTCGGGGCGGTGCAGGGTCCCAACTGAACAAACCCATCAGGGCCTGCTTCATCTTGACCTCATCCGCCTCATCCATGCCTCCAGAGCCAGGACCAAGTTTGCGTGCGGGTCCATTGGTGGCTTGGGCTTGCATGAAATACCGAATAGCAAAGATAGAGAGATCGTTGTAGAATAGTGGATCTGACATATCTCTCCACATGTCAGGGTTCCAAGAACCCTGACTCAAGTGTTCTTTGGTTTGAAGTCTAGTACTCCCCTTAAAAAGTATGAGTCATTTCGGATCCCAGAAAGAAGATTGGCTAAAAATTATGCACCGAATCATCAACCAATGGTTAACTGGTCATTTGGTTGCTGGATGATGGGCCTGCTCATGGGCCTATGGCTATTCCCTGAATTCCAAATAACAACGCAGCAGGTCTGCCCTCAGTGGCTGTGTGGCAGCGCACCTTGACCGCGTCCACACTGGTCCTTGCTGAGATCCGTTGACAGAAACCAAATTGACCCCAAATTTTATGGGGTTTGGAAGGTGAAAAATGGTCCAAACTCAAGGAGAAGTTCCATCAGCCAATGGGCAACTGAGGCTTTGAATTGGTGGTTTGGAATCCTGGAGATAGCCGCCTTGTCTTACGTTGCCTTGGTTTCCAAACAAGCAAGCTAACAACCCAATCGCCACTGTCTGCCTGCAGGCTGCAAAAATGAAAAATGATGCTTTTTTAAAACGAAACAGGCAAGAATCATATCTTTGTAGTTTCCACATCCGTTTTCGAGGTAGGATGTATCAATTCTTTTTTGGTACCCATCCCCACATGGACATCCAATCCACTCAGGGCTGGGTTGTGGGGGTCTGCTCTTGGGGGAATCCATTCCGAAATTCCAACACCCCACAGATCCACCAATCCAGCTCTACCACACAGGTCAACCTTCACAGTGCAACAAGAAATGGCTATGACAGCTATGAGTCAAAACCCTGGTACCCTGAGTATCCTCAAATAGCTGGTTTATGAATGTTTATTCCTCCAAATATGGTAATAGGTTTTGCCCCATCCCAAATCCTAGAAAACGCCTCGGGAATGCGTCTCCAACCACCCCCTGCCCCAATCCTTGAAGAACGCGCAGGTAGTCTCACAGCAGAAGTCTTCCGGATTCTTCGCGGGCTGCGCTCGGTCCTTAACGTGGTACAGATCTACCCATCAGATGGGAATATTCCGTAAGTTCAGGAGTCTAGGGGGTTATTACTAATTACATCTAATTACTAGTACCACTTTTGACCCTCTTCTCAAACTTCGGACTTAAATCTATACTGGCAGTTTGTGTACTCCCTTGTAACCGAATGGAGTAGATCGCCTTTGATAACTGAATCCTCCGCAATATGTTCAGTTCCTGATATGGTTCTAGATCAAAAACCTGGTACTTCATGAACATCAAGTTGAATTGCTTGCAACCGTCGTGAGCCCATAAGTATTGATCCATTCCTGCATCACTACTATCCCATCACAAAAAAATGTCGGCCACGGTCTCTTCATGGGTATAGGCCTTGTTGGGTCAAAATAAATAATCAACCAAAAAAAGATGGTTTCAGATCCAATGACGACCGCCCGTTGCTGGTTCCATTGCTAGTGATCCATCGCCAATTCTCCCAGAAACTCCCCAGCACTGGGTTTCCGGCATGACGCTCGAGGCGGTATTTGTAGCCTTTGGAGCTGTCACAAGCCAGCGCCGCACAAGACTGGGCAGGCTGGGATCATCATACGCACAGAATGTGCAGGACCCAGGGTAATTGGGATATACATGAATAGAGACCCTAGTAATGTATGGGTTCTTAATCAAGTAGTAGCTGCGATTGGGATGCACCCCCAAGTACCATGGGAAGATTGGCATGTTGCTGTTCTCCATTTGGATTATAAATCATACATCGTTTCATTGTGAATCCCGTTTTTTCGTGGCTAGAACAGACATAATCACAACCTACGCAGCCAAAATGGGAAGATTCCAGAAAATGTGTATCCTCTGGTAAATGAATGTAGCAATGCAACATCATACTGCCAAATAGTGAAAATGATGTACTGGAAATTCAACACAGCTTCTGGGAAGGAGATCATTTACAAGCTACCATAGCGGATGTCAATGGTAATGTTTTTTGTTTCCCGGCAAGTTTGAGTGGCAAGATAGACTGCAAAAGTGGGAGATGGCAGGATGGTCAGATCGCTGCGGGTTGAAAATCCTTTGCCACTTCAAAAAGTGTTTGTGTGCGTGTATTTTGATGTTTGTGACTGTATGTAATACGAATGTGTTTGGACTTGATGAGTAAACAAATCCCATGTTGGCAACGCTATGATCTATCTGAAATGGTTTTCACAGAAGGGTGAAGCAACCCATCCAATGGCATGTACCCAGGCTTCCCGACCGGTGTGCAGCATTCCTCGTTGCTGCTTCCAGCCTGAAGAAAGGACGAACCAGTGGAAGGAAAAGGATTCGAATTCGGTCATCTTCTCCGGGAGGCAGTTTGCTGCTACAAAAAGCAGAGGGATATCATTGATATCGTCCATCTGCGTCACAAAGCTGCAGACTCTTCAACCATGGGATCCACCTTTCATCATGGCGCCCTGTTCTGGCCTGGTTCTTCTTCTTGGGATCGGTGGCCCAACTTCCCATGCAAACGTGCTTGGAGCACAGGGGCTTGCAGCACTCCTCTCAAGCGCTGCCAGCATCTCCCGGGTCAACAAGACTGCACCCAGTGCGCCATAATCAGTGCTGAAATCCTAAAATTGTTCCTAAAGTAGCGTAAAATGTTCAATCATGGTCAACCTATGTACAGGAACCCTAATCTGCATTTGTATCAGCGCTTTGTGTAGATGTTTTTCGTCAACCCAGCGACCAACTCCTGAGTTTCCCCGACATGGGACTAAATTCTGGTGTAAAGCTGTCAAAACCTTTGGCCAAACACCTCGAAATTGTTTACCAAAAGAATCAGAGATTTGCAGAGTCAAGATTTCTGATCGATAAAGAGATGAAGACTGACTGACGAAACCCCAAATGTTGGAGCATTATTGATCCAAACTGAACAAAACTTCGCAGCTCCCAAATATTCAGACATCCTCAAGAAAAAACTGGAGGCCCCGCCAGTCCTGTTGCGTCGAGCCCAGGGCATCTCGCTTGCTGAGGGGAACCCCATAGCTCTTGTTGCAGGCCACGCTCCTTCGACGCAGTGGAAGGTCATCCAAGGGTCACAGATTGTCACCCAAACGGGGCTCAGAGACTGAAACCTTGAAGGTTTTGGGTGTACTGTACTTCCGTCAGGGCAGCGCACGAATTTCAAGGAAATACACGCAAATGGTTCTTTCTTGCAAATTAGAAGCCCCAAACCATTAGTTTCTCCAAGTATTTGGAAAATGTTTGTATGGTATCCCCCCATTTAAAAGTTGTTCCCAAAGAAGTCTAGTTGTACTTAGCGAGTTTCACCTTTTCAGCCAGGCGGCGAACAAAGTTGATCGCAACATTCGAGGTTAGAAGATGCCACGTTGTCGAAGTAATCCGGGTGCGCCTCCATGGTACTGGAGAGGAGGCCAAAAAGAGTTCCCTTCCCAAAAAGAGTTATCGAATTGGATCATCAATGGTGGCTTAAGATGGTTTAACCACCATCAAATAGGGATTCAAGCATGAAAATAGGATCAACAAAACAGAGATGGAAATTGGAAAAAAAAAAAACGTGAAATGCCACGCTAAGCACGACTCTAGAAGCGGTCTTGCTTCAAGTTGCCAGTGGTGGATTCTGCGCTTCCAAAATATACCTTTAGACAATCAAACCTGGCAGTTTAGAATTCCTCTTCATATCTGCCGTTCGATTGCCATTTCAGATTGCCGGAGGATACCGTGCTGGCGCCAACCCCAATCGACCGCAATATATCACATGTATATGGGTAGCAATATGGTTTTATTATATATATATATACATATGTATTTGCATGTACCATGGAGACAGCACCTTGTCTGGGAAGAATATGTATACCCAATAGCATTGTTAACTTACATAAACATACATATGTATACGCATAAACGTAACATACTTACTGTACTCCGTATGGATACCGTGCCCCCACGGTCCACGGTAAAAAGACACCTCCACATTTTTCTCCGCAACGCGTCGCTGGCCACAAGTTTTCTGCACAACTAGGCCGCGCAGTCCGGTTCGGAGAGCTTTGCATTGGAGACTTTGTACATGAACCGCAGCTTCCGGCAGTGATTTAACGAACCATCAATAAGATAGTATACCATGTAGAAATGTTAAAATATGTCCAAATTAAATAGTCACCGTTTCATTCATACCAAACCCAATGTTCCCAGGCCAGCAAATACTGTTAAATGGGTTTTGAATTGTTTGCTTTCAAAATTGGTCTTGAATATGCCCCCCTTGGTGTTGAAGTTCTCTCATCTTTTTGAGATCCAGAATTCTTGAAACATAAATACGCACATATGAATACCATCCTTGTTGCCTTGTTGCTGGTTCTTCTATGTTCTTCTTCGACTCAGTTTCTGTTTCCATTCCGGAAGCTGAAGTTCCTCACATCAGTGCCTTTGCACAGGCCGCAGTGAAGCCTGCGGCGGCCGCTGCCTCTGAACCCACCAGGATGTAGCCTGCCAGACTCCACAAAGCCATGCGAGCCACGTCCACCACGATACCTCCAAAGCCGCCTTAGCCAAACTGGCCGCCAAAGGGACAATTTATAGCGGCAAATTTCATGGTGTTTACATGTGCTTGCTGTGTTTACCCCAAAAGTAGGGGGCTCATGTTTTTCCCTGCAACCACTTCTTGGACCCGAGGCCCGTCTCAACCCATCGGTTGAAAGAGAATCAAAATGGCCAACCAATGGAAGCAGGACAGGAAACAGTGAGACATATTATTCAACGAAGATTCGCATGTTCAACGGCGTTCTGCTAGTTTAGTTATTAAGATCCACACAGACTAATTTGTGTGAAACCTGATGCCTCAAACATCGCTGCTAAATCATCATGTTCCACCCCTGACATCGAAGATGAGGCCGTCTTAAGACTTGTCGTTTCCACTCCCAACAAATTTCTGGGCATGGGCGGGATTGTTTACGTGCAAACATATATTCAGCTGAGTCGTATAATCTGATTCATAGCCAAAAAGGCTGAGTAGAAGCTCCATTTTGTCCCATTTCATCCCGTTTCTAGTTAAAATCGCTTGATATAAGCCTCATCCCCCAAAGGAAAACCTTCAAAATCCCAATTTACAAATATCTACATATTACATCTGTATGTACAATTTGTACAATTATAAATATAATATATCGCCCCGGGCCGAGGCGCCAGCCGCTTTGCACCGCTTCCTGGGCGGCTCGGTGGGAAGTTCCTCTGTGTTTTTGCGCTTGGCAGATGCAGCACCTGGGGTGAGTGGATGGAGCAGCGAAGTTTGTGTAAGAGCTGGTCAATATCTATGTATATATATCATTTTTATTATATATATATATATTATTATTCTATATGTATGGAAAAAGAGAGAGACAGCGCGAGAGAGAGAGAGAGAGAGAAAGAGAAAGAGAGACAGAGACAGAGACAGAGACAGAGAGAGAGAGAGTCAGAGACAGAGAGAGAGAGAGAGATGTCATGCATTATCTATGTCTATGTCCCAAGAACATTCGCAAGCAAATACGAATGTCGTTTGGTCAACGGCAATCATGGGAACACCATTGCATTAATCAGTGAAAGCAGTTGGGCCCCATGTTGCAGTCCAATCAAGGGTGACCGTGGGCCCTCAACCTTGCAGAGTCCCAACCTGCTGGGTCTTGATGTGGGGTTTCACTGGGCAGCTGCTGTAGGGTCATGGGTAGCACGTCAGCAGCCAGAGAAGACCAAATCTCACCCATCTGCTGCTCTGCGGCAGGAAGCTTTCCAGCCACCTGACAAGTTTGGAGCTTAAAAGTAAGCATCAATGAGGATATAATCAACCATACTGGGAACGTAATATGGTGATTTGCATCCCACCATGATGGGAATATATATGAATATACATATATATATATATACATACATACATACAATATATATATATATAGATCGCTAGGGGGCTGACGTTTGCCCGAAATCCACGGAATTCCATGTGGATTTGCGGTGTGTTGTTTCGGTGCGTGTTTTTGGCAGACTGCGAGCAGGACGCCAGACTCACCTTTTGAAGTCTTTTGAGCCGTTGACTGAGACCTCACTCAACAAACCGCAAAATTTTGAAAACACACCAAAATAACTTAACCCTAAACAAACCCAAATCAAACATAAGTAATCCCAAATAGACCCTAAAAGAACCTTGAACAAACCCTAAACAACCCTAAACAGCACAAAAATATTCATCCAACAAACACTGAATAAACCCTAAATAAACTCTAAAGAAGATCCAAACCAACCCGAAGTAAACCCCAAAATAAACTGACATAGATCCTAAACAAACCACAACGTAACTAAACCCCCAATGAAACTTTGGGCAAACGTCCGCCTCAGAGGGATATATATATATAGATATGATTATCATTATTAGTGATGCTTTTACCATTATTATTATTATTAGTATAATAGTGGAATATGATGGTTATATACAGTATATACAGTATCTATAACTATAATGGAATATGATTCATGACCTGCGTAAAGTCCCCATGGCCCCATGGCCTGGATCTGCATGTTGGGCCATGGGATATCTTTGTCCTCCAGCTCCACATGCTCGGAGAGGACTGCCAGCACCTGGCCAGCCTTCAGAGTCTTTGGGAGCAGCAACTTCTTGGATGTTTTGGATCCTGACGACTGCGGAGGGCTGGGCTGCTTGGAGGAGTCATAGGTTTTACCCTCTGGTAAACTAACATAGCTATTGAAAATGGCCATAGAAATAGTGAGTTTTCCCATTAAAAATGGTGATTTTCCATAGTTATGTTAGTTTACCAGAGGGTAATTGGAGGATTCACAGTTTTTATATGTTTTTATGGCTTCATATCCCATATCGGTTGTGGCTTCACACCTCCTGGTCTAGAAACCTCCAGATCACAAACATGGCAACTGAACATCGTCACTCCAAGTTATGAACATCGTCTAGCAATGAAAATGTTCCGTTGCCTTAAAATGTCTGCACCTTGTTTTCTACCCATCTCTGCCGATTCTATCATCCCCCCTTTTCAGGGTAGCTCCCACCACCCCAGCTACAAGATAAAATGGTTGGATTAAATTTGATCAAATGACCTCTTCTCCCCCCGTGTGGCTTTATTCACCTATGGACCTATGGATTGGAGCCAGTTGGAGCCACCTTGCTTTTTGGACCGACCGTTCCTTCCAGTTGCACGGTCACCAGCACTGGGACATGCTCCGGAAACCTCTGAAGCAGATCTGCAGGCGAAGTCATCCAGCTCAACGGCGGAACGTGGGCTCCGCGGAAGGCAACAACGGCTGCGGGGTCCAAATCTATTACTTCAGACGTCCAAGGTTGGAAGAACTGAGGCTTGCCGTTTCTATTTTTTTTTTGGGTTGCGTTGGAGTTGATGGATTTGAGTTCATGCCAAAGATGGGAAAGCCATGCGATGGATATGACACATGAACAGAAGTAGATGCAACAAAGAATCCCTATTCACCGCAATTGTTCAGACCCAAAGCAATGAGTTTCTCCCTTGTGCTGCTGGTCAGCATCCCAAAACCAAGCAGCACAGCTTCAACAATTCCGCGGATTCACCCAGCCAGGCATGTGACAAATTGGTTGCACATTTGCGGTGTTGCTGGCTGCAATATCTCCCGATTCTATCCTATTCTAATTACAGCATCTATCTGTTCCGCAGGCAACCCGTTCCGAAAATCATCATGCTTCCCTTCCTAAACTGGAAGGATATCGACAGAAACCTTGCCTGAAAATTTATGGTAAACCCTCTAAATCAACTCTAAATCCTATACTATGGTTTCCCATACTTGTCCACATCAAAATTGCCATGACTTGGGTGGATCGATCCCAATTTCTGACACCCACAGGACCTATACCCAGCAACAGCGAACCTTGTAGCCATGGCCACATTTCCAGCGTCTGCAAGTTGGTCGGCCTGGGACAGATTCTTTAGGCAGGGAGTAATTTTGATAGTGCTTTTGGGTCTCATCTATATATATATACTGTATGTGTATATATATATTGTAACAATAATAACAATAATCAATAATCATAAAAATGAAAATAGAAATAATAGTGTGTATATATATATGTCATATCATATCATGTCATGTCATATCATATCATACCATATCATATCATATCATATCTACATTATAGTTTTTGGTTTAATCATGTATATGTCTACATATAATGCATATGTATATATATATATATAATACATATATATATATTTATAGTAAGAAATTGCACTGTTTAGGTCCGAAAGAAATTGCCCAGCCAGAGGGTTCACCCTTGACCCACTGTCGAGTCTAAAACGAGAGCTCCATGCCAGACGTTGCTGGAATGGAAATGGAATCGTAAATCAAAGGGATATCAACAGCCAAGCTTGGAACCTAATGTCGTCTCTGCAAAAGGGGCCAATTTGAAGAAACAGTCCATGTGTTGGGGGTACAATTCTCACGAAGAATTGGAAACATCCATAATCGATCAAAGATCATGTCGTCACGTCCACGTCCCAATTTTTCTATGAACCTTCGACAGTCAACAAAAGGGGATGGTTCACAAGTACCAACATTGTCAAGCTCCAAAAATCTATGATGAATTTTTGTGGATCCTTGGGAACCCAACAACTTGTCCCATCCCAAGACGAAAATCTGGAGCCCAGTTGGAGCGCATTCCTCTGAGTCCCCTGCAGCATTGCTCGTTGGTGCTGCCTTGCACTTTGAAGTGCTCCGGCCTGAGCCATGGCAAGATACGGCACCGATGGCAAGATACGGCACCGATGGCAAGATGCCCCGAGGATCCCAACTTTGGAGACCAGCCCTTCTCTAAATCGCACTGAAAGGAGTCACCTTTGCTCGGCAACGGGTGGCAGCCACATTTCAACCAATAAGACAGTAGTGCTCGAAGATACCAGATAATAGCCAGATAATACCAGGGATTCAATCTAATCAATCTATTTCGAGAGGTCATTGATCCTCAACCTCCAAATTTGCTGCTTTTTCCCACTTTATCCAACTTCATTGATGGTTCAAGACAACTCGTGCAGCTGCGGAACAGCTCCCCTGAACCTGCCAGATCGGATGGCGTGTCCTTCATCCAATTCTCGGATGTTTTCTACAGATATTGTGTCAAGCCATGGGCCAAACCCCTGGTACCCTGGAGTTAACATCCCAAAAATCCCGCCAGGATGTGACATAAAGAAATGGTCATTAAGCCAAATGATTTTGGTCTATATTATAGGCGTGTGTTTACCAAATTTAGGGCCAAGAATATTTACCATTTCTATAATCCCTTCCCCAATATTGAATACCCCCAACCAAAACCCTGATTGAGTTCTGGCCACTTTCACGATGGTAAAGCGATAAATGCCCATTCTTTGATGGCTAATATTTAATATGATTGGGTGATTCTCTCCATTTTTACTGGATTAAATCCCCAGCACTGCTGGTTAGATGACCATTAAATCCCCATTGATCCACAGCCCAGCCCAGCGGCCTCTAGGTGCAACTTGGCCGCCTGCGACACGATCGAACCAACAAGACATAGTGGTGAATAGATGTATGTATAAAAATAGATGTATGATGTATGCTTCAATATTTATATGTATATATATATTACATATTATACATATGTATGTATACATATATATATGTATATATATATGTATACATACATATGTATAATATGTATATTATATATGTGTACATGTATATATATATGTATACATATGTACATGTATATATATAATATATGTACATGTGTATATATATATGTATGTATATACATTTATATATAGATGTATATATACATATACATATATATATATATATATGACCAACACCACAAGGAAAAATCCCATTCTGATTTACTTTGGTGACTTGCTCGGGATTTCGGTATTCTTCTCATGAGTATGTCCTCTGAAATTTGAGGCCTTCAAGCTGCAAGAAGTTGGTGTAGTCTAGTGGCACATACCATCCCTGGTTGAGGTAGAGAAACGTCCAGGGATTTTGCAAAAAAAACATGAAAAACTAACTCGTAACCATGAGGGACTATCCGACTTCTTAATGTTTGTACAATGTAATTTATTATATATATATATATATTGCTATATATTATTAATACTATATACTAGGTGCATGCGTACATCTATACATATTTATATATAATACATATATATATATATACGTTAAAACATCAAAAAGATTCACCAAAGCACAGATCCCCTGCCCCTCAAACTCTCCGGAGTCGCACCTGGGCACACAGCCCAAGCAAGGCAAGACCGAGGCCCACCTGCAGCTGGGAACATGGGAAGAAAGTGAAATGTTGGGGAAGAGATGGATATTGCTATGGTTTGAGTGCCACCTTGAAGACCTTGAAGACGAACTTCTATGGTCTATTGCAGTCTATGGTATTTTTGGAAGATGGTTTTCTGGATGTATGCTTTTGCTGAAGTTTTTGGGGGCCAACATGACAGAGCATCTCCTGAAAAGCGCAAACATGTCTGTCTTTTAAGGGTATTGCGCATGCCAGAAAAGGCATAGTCGGCAACACCGTATCATGCATCTGACAGGGCTGGAAACCCACTTGTTCATATGTTGTTCCATAATTGGATTTTAAGCCATAAGTGGGGATATCCTGTCAATCAGTGGCTTATACCATGGTGATTAACCACGGATCCTAGCTGGGACGCACACACAATGAATCAACCGCTGCCTGCTTCATTTCAGCCCCAGCCCCGCGGCGCCCGAGCGCACCGCAGGTGCCGTTACTGGGCACTTGGAGCCAAACAGGCCAGGGATCGGTCAAATGAAGTGTCCCCGGGATCAAAAAATATCAGCTTTACAGGACGTCTTTAAATTAAATGGTTGTAGGTGTGTACCATTATGGAGTTGTATGCGTATATGTATATATAATTGTATATAATATGTATAATATATGTTATATATTATATATAATATATATATTATATATATATATTATATATATATATTATATATATTATATATTATATATATTATATATATTATATATATTATATATATTATATATTATATTATATATATATATATTATATATTATATATATTATATATATTATATTTATATATATATATATTATATTATATATATATTATATATTATATTATATATATACATGATTATGTATGTATGTAGTTCGTATGTATCGAAATGTATATTGGGACCATGACGAAGCAACAAAGAGCTGTGCATAGAACCTCACCCAATCGGACACTCAATGGCTTGTCCCCCAGATCAACTTTAAAGCTTCTCATCCGATCCAAAATCTTGGAAATGTGATTGTTTTATATTGTTTCCAGTTGGAAAATCCCCAACAATCCCAGATCTCAGATGCATTTTCACCATTTTCCACACCTGGCCGTGAAAAATCCCGCATCTGGGAAGCCACACATAGATGCGCGAGTAGCGCATTCCCAGATTCACATCCAGCCTTGGGAGCGAAAAATCCCGCCTTGTCTTGGTCGATGCTAAGGATCCAATGTGGTAAATGCAGTCGAAACCGAAAAAGCCATGGGAAAAGACTCGTGTCATTTTGGGTTCACAATGGAATGCATTCCCCAAAGGTTGGGATGATCCCTGAAACCATTGTAAATACATTTACGTCACAGGAGTTTGCTTTCTTGACAGGCCACTCAAAAGCAACTATATAAATATCTCGGAGTTTGGGCTTGCCCCTAGGAGTACCCACTGTGAGGTGTGCATGCGGATATGCATCACTTTTTAATCTTGTACCCAACTGTAAATATCTTCTATAGAAGCCTTACTAACTTAGTTTGATAGCCTAAGTTTGACATCCGTAAAAACCAGTTGCAATCAGTCGCCACTGGGCTGCCATGACTGATACACATTGCCCACGTTGAAGGTGATGTGATGCTTGCCGAGCATGTTACAACGCTCCTGCACACCCAGGTGATTCGGGTCGTCCTCTTTACAGCTGCGTTGAACTGAAAAAAATCAGACACCACCCACCTGTTGGGCAATCCAACTTACAGGCTAAGGCAGTGGGCTCAAAACTTGCTGGTTTTGTTCCTTTTGTTTGCCGGTTGTACAGAGAATTTGTTGCCAATATGATGTGACTCAATCGCTTGAGTTTCTCCCAATAACTTAGTGGCGAAGCTCTCATTGTCAGGCCCTATCGCATCAACCCGTTGGTCCTATCAGAACAGAACAGTTTCTTAAATCCGCCAAAATGGTCCTAAGTTCTAATTTTCTACCCTACATTTCACACGTGCCACATATTGTTTCTCACTTTTTACATATCTTTTCTCCATATTTCACAAAAATTTCACCGTCCTACCTGGTAATTTCACATAGCTATTGAAAATGACCATAGAAATAGTGGATTTTCCCATTGAAAATGGTGGATCTTTCCATAGTTTTTTGTATGTTTACCAGAGGGTAACTTCCAGGAAACCCACCACATCCACCATATGCGCCGCTGCGCCTGTGCGTGCGCCACGTTTTCTGGCCACAGCTCCAACCCATCGTTCACGCCACTGGCAGGTGATGACGCCCACTGGGGGGTTCAATGGGTCCCCACAGTGGGCCAAAATGGTGACAAAAATTCGAGTTTTTTCAGCTGAACCAGCTGAACTATCCAAAAAATCAGCTGAAAACTTGTAGTTCCATGGCAATCAGAACAAAAAAAACAAAAACCGTGGAGTTTCATCGGGAATTATGCGTGGATTTCACCAGCAAAATCGGCAGTTAAAAAGATCATGTTTTTTGGCCTTGATTTCAACGTAGCCTGACACACTGTTTCTTGTTTCGAATCTTTTTGCAGGACACGATGATCATGACGGCTCCGGATCACCATCCAATCATGATGGGGATGCAACCGATAATGGTGGCGATATGAAAAGCAACAATGACTGATCAAGATAGGCCGACAACAATGTTTGGATGACCAATGTGTGTGCAAACTATGCAAAATAGGAGGCAGGGAAGCAACAGCACGCAAGATACAAGATATACAATACGGGTTTGATCCTGGTCTGGTTGTCAATCGGAAATTCAGTGATTCAAGATGATCCAAGTCTGTATCTCTATGCAGTGTGTACTTGTAGCACTTCTTAATATCAACCTGTAGGAGAAAGTCATAACAACCCACACGATCCATGCATCGAACACGGCCAAACTGTGCATTTCGCATCATTTCGCTCCACCAAATCACTGGGGCATCCGACTCTCCCAAGATCTCAGCCACCAAGGAACTGAAGTACCCCGTGCCGGAGCCAATGTTCAGAAACCTCCGGCGATGGCGAATCACTGGGGATGGGAAAACCCCATGCCATCCACAGGTGAATCATCATGATCCCCATTAAAATTGCCATACCTTGGGGGATTGAAGGATTAATATCCTATTTTTGGATAGGCAAAAGCTGAGCTTTGAACGACATGCCGGTCTTCAATGGCATCAAGGCCTCTCACGCGAAAGGACACAAAAGGAGTCAAGTTGTTCGGAGAGCTTCATACCATGTGTCCAAGCGTTTGAGTCAGTGCATTTCCAAGGCTTGTCTCAGAGGTGCCCGAACAAACATAAAACCACAAGTTTGGAACTTTCATGTTTCATGATCAGAAAAGTAGCCATGATCGAGAAAAATAAGGGCTCTGAATCAGCAACTATCATTTTCAGCAAAGGTATTGTAACGCATCATCACGCATCCTAAAATGTAGCTGCCAGCCATGGACAGCCTTCAGAAGCATCCGCACAGATGAGTCTGACGCGCTGGTCTATGCTACAACCACGCGAGCTGATCTTGGACTGAAAAGCTCTTCCCACCATACTGCGGATTGCCCCAAGTAACAACAGATCCATCTGCCAGGATTGCAAGGAACGCACCATCTGTAGCATGGACCTGATCTTGGACTCGGGAGCTATCACCCCCATGAGCGTGATTTCCCCATGTACTCACAGATCCATCTTTCAGAACAGCAGCAAATGCCCTCGCCGTACCCTGGACCTGCTGCACACTCCTGAGTTGAAGTTGGACTGCAGAGCTCTCACCGCCAACAAAGTCTTCACCCCATGTTACAACAGATCCATCAGCCAGGATAGCAGCAAATGCATAGTCTGTAACATTGAGCTGCTGCACTCTTCGGAACTTGGGTTTTGTGCGGGTGTGGCCCCATGTGATGATCCAGTCACCTCCATAGCACAGCCTTTGAACCGCAACAGCGGTGAGGTTGTCTCCGTCAATGCCTGCAGCTTCCAGAGATTTGCACGGATCTAAGACATTGCCAGCAGTGACCAGCCGCAGCAGAAGCTTTGCTGCGACCGCTCGTCATGGCTACATGATATTCGAAGCATGTCCTTAAAAGGACTGCAATGGTCTTCTCAAAATGTCGTCTAAATACAATATGTGCACCAAAACATTTGAAATCTGGGCCAAATTTTCCAATAAGCGTACCCACATAGTGGAGATCAGCGTCTTTGGGGAAAAGTAGCCGACGAAGACGGAGAATCACTGGTGCCAAAGAAGTAGAGCGAGAACCGATCTGAGAAGTGCCAAAAATCGCTGACCTTCGATCCAGCCGCTACTGGATTCACATCAAACTCACAGACTTTACCCAAAAAACGATGAGTTCCCGTTCCCCAAAAAATTGTATCAAGGTAGAACAAGTTTATTGATTTTGATGGAAAACTTGGGGGGCGCCCTGAACCTTCTGCCATCTCTTCATGATGGTGCATCCTCATTTCTGTTCCGTGTTTTTTTGTAGTTCTAATCTTTGTTTGTTATATCCTGATTGTTTGTGGGTCGTCCCACACCCCATGTGAAGCGTCGCCCAAATTTTAAAAATATATACAATGGGCCAAGCAGCTCTTCATGCAATTGCAAACCCCCAGGCTTGGCATTTCGAACCACATCCATCCCCAGATTAGTCACAGTTTCTATCATCTCCATGTTCAAAAGGAACAGAAACCCATCAAAATGGGCGGATTTCAGGCTTCATCCTGCATCTTTGTTGGTGAAAACATCCCATGTCTCCCAGGATCGAATCACCTCCAGCGCCCGCGCGTAGATGTGCGGAGCTGACCTCGAAATCCATGAGTGATCCACATCTATGGTCGTAATGAAGTAAACCCAATAATGAACATCAATGAACATCATATAGATATAATATAATATAATATAATGTAATATAATGTAATGTAATATAATATAATATAACATAATATAATATAATGTAATGTAATGTAATGTAATGTAATTACTGTAATATAATATAATATAATATAATATGATATAATATAATATAATATAATATAATGTAATGTAATGTAATGTAATTACTGTAATGTAATATAATATAATATAAATATAATATAATATAATATAATATAATACATATATATATATATATAAACCATCCAGAATTGAGGTCTGGTCTTGGGATGCTGTAAAATGACCCAAATGGCTGGTTGCTGGGATAGTTTATATATACTGAATTGTTCCAGCGAGCCATTTTCGACGACCCGAATGTGAGTAGAATTATAGACCTCAGGGTTTCACAGAAAATGGGTTACAGATGGTTACCTACTCTACAGCTCCTCAAAAGTGACCTTGGAAGGCGGTTGCAGAAAACATAGCCGCGAGTAAAATAGGAAAACAAAACTTGCTGGGACCCCTGCAACTGTGGAAAGCGTGGTAAAGAAAACAAACGAAGCAATTGGCTCCGAGGATTTCCACCTACACTTTCGAACCTCCAGCCCTGCAAAATGCATTTTACTACCGGAAAAAATCGATTGCTGACTAGTCTTTCTGGCCGTTTTTGTTGTTTCGATCCCCATGTTTTGTCGATCCATCCTAGTTCTTGCCCCCGTTCCAAGGATCATCATCCACACTGCCGAGTGCGGCACTGGTGCAGTTTTCCATAGCGTAGCGGGGCATCCTCGCAGTCAGCTGAGGCCGCCAAGCCGTAAAAGCGAAGTTTTTTAGCCATCAATTTTTGAAAGCAAACATGATTTTAAGTTATAATTATTATAGCTGAATGTCAGACCTGGTTTCCAACAAACAATTTGTCGGGATTCAAAGCAGGAATTGTAATGGAAAGTCTTTGCTATATAGCTAAGTTAACTAGTTGCATCATTGCTTTCAAAACCCTATGAAATGGCCAGCAAGTAACTATCTTGCATTGAGCGAACCGTTACTGCAGAGTTGGTTTTGCTAGCTGGGGGCTTCAACTCAAAATTGAGACCAATGGAGATCTCACAAGCAAGTGCTGGTCATTGTCACTAGTATCTTTTCGAATGGAAAATGTTTTCGTATCAAATGATTTGGTCCATCATATGTTTACTCATATTCTCTTTTTAATGTTTGGGATTCATGTTAATTGCCAGTACTTGGAAGGATATACCGTGGTTTGAATTATGTTCAAGAAATTCATCAATTTTTGGTACATCACCATCTCCCCACTGTTGTTGTTTCACAATGCTTGTACCCAAATTGACTGCTAATTACAAACCCAATATATCCTCCACGCCCCCATATTTGTTGCTGCTACATATGTGCATGTATGTCTGTAATGTAACGCAACATAGTGGTATGTAGATGTAGATGTAGATATCATACCATACCATTGTATTCATACCGAGGCCCCTCACTCCATAGACTTCGGTACCATAGATCTCGCTGCGAAGGCCTCAGCCAGGCCCTTTTCACCTTTTAATGGGAAAATAATCTATAAGTGATTATGCATGGATGATTACCGGAGGGTAAGTACTGTAATATAATCATATTCGGGTATCAAGAATTGGTTGGTGGTTTCAAACCATCAAGCATGGGTCCAATAGGGCTACAGAATAAAGGGGAATCAAACCATCACCAACAAGCAGTTAGGCTTTCCAGTTTGATGGGAAAAAACGAGGATGTCCAGACCCTGTTGGACATAGGTCAGAATCAACTGGTCGTTAATCCATCTTAGCACATTGCCGACCCGTACTGGCTAGGTTCAACTCGGACATCCACAGGGGATTGGCGTCGTTTCGACTGGAAATGAGCCAAGATTCTGGTTCCCAGGGCCCTTGACCCATGCTCACAAACAAGATTGAAATAGATATGAATCATGTTTGTTGCATTTAAAGTCACTTCAAATAAAACAATACATATCTGTACATATATATATATATACACATATATGTATATATATATATTATATTATACACCTATTCTGTTGATATTCATGTGGAAAGAAAAGTACATATGTAGTATTGACATGTATTGACAATCCTCAGAAGTTCAACCTCACAAATCCTAATACGTCTCGTTCTGGCTGTTTCACATACCCCACCACAGGCCCTGCCTCGAATCCAGAAATGTGCTCGGTCCACTGCTTTAAAAGCATCGACGCCTCGCGTGCGCCAATCTGGCAGCCGGCCCCAAGAGTCTGGCCCAAAAAGTTCGGACGGTTTTCTCAAAGTTGGTTGTCCAAAATCAAGTTTTGGATAGTTTTTGGTGGTTCAAATTAAACATACCAAACAAAATAACGCCACCGTCACCCTTCCAACCCACGTCGTGGCAGCCCCTGGGATCCCCTTGCAGGCTTGCGATCGCAGTGCACCAGAGCGGCGGAGCCTGGCGTTTAGCAACCAGCTTCGCATGGGGTTTGGCTCAAGCTTGGGGTATCGAACCATGTAAAAAACACGTATATTATATATATTTATATATAATCGTATAATATCTTATATCTATATAATATACACATACACCATACAGGAGACCATACAGGAGATAAACATAGATAAACCATACAGTCACCACAAGTTTGCTCCTCTGATGTCGCTTGGATCCCACTAAACTATCGTTGCCAGGGCCAAGGTCCCACAACGGAGCTGCATCGAATTTACACCCACCAATTTGAACATGGAAACAAAAGAAGAAATTTCGTTTGGAAGATGATGTTTATATGATTTTAATAGAGTCATTTTGGGGTGTACGAAAGTGAGGAGCGTAACTACACGGTGGAACTCGGTGTAACCCATATTATATCACCAGTTCATCCCTTCGAAAACCGCTTGGACCGCTTGGAACATCCACAATCCATAGGGCCAAACGATGGCAGGAGTGCTGGTTGACCATGCGCTCGTTGGACATGTGCACCTACAGGCATGGCGTGTCCAATCTTCATAGATCATCAGCCAACAAATCTCCAACCCTGTGTGCCACGACCTCGTCCTCATGGGCCGCCATAATTCTTTGGTGCAGTGCTGTATGCATTCAGTTCCAACTTGTTCCAACACGTCCAACCCGAAGTACCTTCCGCCTGTACATCACAACGTTTAATGCATCTGCCACCCTTCATGGGAATATCAAGGGCCCCTATAGTGCTGTTGGAACTGAACATCACACAGCATCTGTTGACGCCCCGGGAAGCCAACAAAGCGCGCCAAAACGGCTGCGGAAGGGTGGAAGAAGATCTGTTGTCTGAGTGCATGATGAAACAACTACGGCTATGCCGGCTATGCCGGCTATGCCATACTATGCTTCTGGAATGGTGTACCAAAATTAAAAGGGACTGAAAGTTTGAGCTCATCACCTCCATCATCCAGAACTTTTTCTGCTCCCGGCACGGTCTGTAACATGTGCCATGTGCACTAGTTGACAAGGGAGAAATGACCAGTCATGCTTCAAAAGCAGATAAAAATGCATGAAAATGCGGCATGTCAATCTTGCTCAAGTGCACTTATTCATCCAAAAGTTTCGGGATGTTGTACTGTTCTCCTGTTGTCCTGGCTACGCTACTTGATGGTTTCAGATTTTGATGCCTCCCATTTGATGTTTTGCAATTCCATGATTCCGAGTCTGAAGTTCTTCGAAGTTCTTCAGACTTCAAAAATTGAAGGGCAGCTCTCTTCTGCACAAGGAATCCTTTCTTCCAAGACAGAGAACCACCGAAAGCCGACTGAGCATCAGATCTCAATTGCCCTGAGACGCATTCTCCTTCCTGGGACATGACCAGAAGGTGTCGGCTCCAATGCGGATCAAGATTCCAAGAGTTGCACACACCATCCTGAAAAACAAGATCATGAAAAACATTGATAAAACCACAACTGCAAAATGACTCCTATCAGGACATCTCAAAAAACTGGAACATGCACACGGTGAGCTGGTCTCCTGGTGGGCAACCCCTGCCCTGGATCTAGTTCGAGCAGAGAGATGATGATTTTGAGCGTCCCAAGCTATGGAGTGGTGAAGTGGTGTCAGAGCACCTTTGGGAAGGATCCACAACTGGAGCACCAAGGTTGGCTCGGAAAATTCTGTCCCTTTTGGCTCCAGGACCTTCACCCCACTGAGAAGCCCCACAACTGGATTGAAGTGGCGCCCGACCTCGGCTCGACCAGCCAGTGGGAGATGGGACCAAAAAAACTGGAGATGAAACTCGGATGGGAAACGTTTTTTTTTGCCGGGAGCCCTTGGGAAATCAAATCCTATAAGATCCATGTCTCTTGATTTTGGGGGCCCACAATCATGGCCCGAAGATGCACCAACGGGCCGCCGCACGCAAAACTCAGCTTCCTCAGGAAATACATCAGCATGAAGAGGACCAAGACCTCAAATGACTCAAATCCATGCAGAGCTAGGGGGTACTTGGCAAGGCCATGAATTTTGGGTATAGCGGGCTGACTGTGACGATCACTAGCGAGCAAGATGTGGAATGGTTTTGCAGATAGACCCAGTGACCCCGAAACAGGTCCTGAATGAAAAGCAAAATATTTATCCTTTCGATATGTCACATGACATGTCCTCTTCAGGAGGGAACTTGATTCTCGGAGCCTCTCTTGTGATGATTCAAATTTCAACCACTTAGGTCCCTATTTTCCATCATTGAAGATCTCTTGGACATACCTTGCCAGCGCCGAGCAGCGAAGAGAACCATGTAAATCATGTGCTTGCTGCTCTTGTTCGCCATCATTCCCTGGGGCGCGACTTCAGGGATCATCAAATTAGGTCGTAAACCCCAAAACTTGGGTAGTCAACTCACATGGATGTGGCAACATGCTACGAAAATCTGCGGGACAGAGGATGTCTAGAGTGGATCTTCCAGTGCTATCTTCGTTTCGTTTGCAGTACTGGAGGGCAACATATTCATATCCCGTTTTCGTCTATCCAATCATTGTCTGGGATGTTTATGCGGATTTGCTGCCGGGACAAGACCCACCCCAAGTATCCAAACAGAATCCCTTCAGGGGTGCCAAGACGGCGCCTTCAGATGCGTCAGGGTTCCTTTCAAAAGGCTCGCTGCCTTGTCGAAATCGATACCTCAGCTTGGATCATCAGTGTTATCCCCGGATCCCACAGGTGCCCCACCAGGTGCCCCAACGGCTTGACACTTGCCCAAAGGCCTGGTGTCAGCCCTTGAGGTCGGCACCCATTTGGTCCAGTAAGCTATTGGAGTCCTTGATGGACGATCCTATACTCCTGGGGCAATCACAACTGGAAAATGTGAAAATACAACAGAAAATATCAAGTCTCTTGATGAGAATAGAACCTGCTATTCTGATACCACCTGCTACACGACCAATAGACTTGGGTTGGTATCAATCAGAAATGATGAATCGTTAGTTTGTCAAAAACAAAGTATATCCATGGTTTTCCTGTCTGTTTCAAGTTTCAACTGAGAAACTGATAAGCTATCTAGAGCACACGCACCGACCCTGCAGCACTTAGCACTTCTATGCCCACAAAAACTACCCTCATCATCACTTGCTATCATTGAAGTAGTGACAGGCGTTTTGAATCCGCTTGTAACTGGGAATTGTCCTTATGAGTGACTGGGACGGTAGACGTACCAAGATATCGGACTAGCATCAATTGAACCATCCTGTGGTCATTCGATGGAATTTCACACATCATTCTTAAGTCTCGTGTCGTGCAGTCAAGTTTGTTTCAATCACAGATTAACATACAACAAACCAAAAATTGCCACACGCCATTTCATTTCATTAAGCGCTTGAAAGGGTCGTACCCTTGCCGCAGTCAGCATCGAATTGACAAAAACATGCGTCGAATTGCACACCGGCCCTTAACGACCTTGATAGTCGGGCAACCACGTGGCATCTGCACGGATTTGCCCACAGAGTTTCTCTGCTTCAATGACCCACTGTACTAGGTCGTCCTCCGGGGGATCCACTGGTGTGCACAGGCTACTACGATTGCGTCTGTACAACTCATCAATGACTGCACCTGCAATCGCAGCGCAAAAGGGTTCTGGGTATTCTTTCAAGGCACTTGTTCTGAAAAGCCCATCAGGCCCTTTTCCTATCGCAACCTGTGTCGGCCGGGTAGCCTCAGGGAGCTGTCTGCGATACATTGACTGAGCAAAACGCGGCATCCTCAGCGCCAGAAGCCCTGTGGGCTTGATCATAGCGCAACCCCACTTCCACTGGCTCATAATGTGAAGGGCGACTTCCGGATGTTGACGCAAAAGTTCCGTCCACGGAGCAGTCCAAACACTTGCAATTTGTGGGTCATCCGGCGGGGCTGGATGTTCGCTTACATACAGTCCCCCAGTGCAAATTGCCCAAGCAATGGTAATGGTGGTTTGTAAATAAAAATGTGTGCCTTGACTGAGCTGCCTGAGCTCACGTTTCGTCAGTCCCTGCAATCCAAAAATTCTCTCAGCACTTCTCAGCGGTCTCGGTCCTCGTCCATGGGAACCCTCTGCATCGCCCTCGATTACAATGGGCTGGTGCCTGGCTGCAGACCAGGTCTCACATGGGGCTCCTGCAACGGTAGCCGCAATGCGTCCTTCCCTATATAATCGGATGAGCTGTTGCCATGTCACTGACTGAAGGAGGAGATTACCCATCGTCGCAGAATTCGCAGTGTCCAACGAGAGTACAATGACCTGCAAATTTACGGCTGCTGCCCATCTCGCAAGATGTGCATGGATGTCTCCTTCCCTTCTTCTACCACTGAAAAGATGTGCGATCAAGAAAATTGGCTTACAGTTAGGCTGGCTCCAAAGGGGAACCTTCTTTTCATGAGGAAGGTCCAACCAGCGTGTTGTTCGAACTTGCTGAAAAAGGGCTGTTTGCTCATCAAACTGTGCGGGTACATACGCTGCAGTAGCAGCTCTTTCTTGAACATTTGCTGATCCTTTTCGCACGTCTCTGTGCGGAAAGCGGGTCTGCATTTCAACAGTGAGGCGTCGCAATCTGGCTTGGAGAGCGGTTCGCTTTTGCAAGAGCTCAAATCGTGGGAAAACAGATGTCAGTTCACAGAATGCTTCATCAACCAAAATTTCTGCCCTACCATCAAGAAATTCGGCGATCACATCTGGCAAATCATCTTGTCCCCATCGCATAAACTCAGCCTCAAACCATGGCCCAAAGTTCCCATCAGCATCATCCAGCAAAAGGATCCAGCGATCAGGTAAATCTTCCGCCAAGCTCTCATCAAAACCTGCAACCTGAAAATCACTAAACCATTCCTCTGTAGTCTTGGACAAGGACTGTCGCAATCTGAGAGAGGCTTGACCAGCATCTTCGGGCATATCAACTTGCAGTTCCTTCTGAAGAGTCTCCAGCTCTTGAGTAAGGTGCTGGATCTCTTGTGCTCGATGATCATCTGCAAGCAAAAGTGGTCCTTGCGCCTGGACAGTTTCCACACGAGCTAATCCTCTAACCTCCAAAGGCTTGACTTGAAAGCATTGGCCATTGGGCAAATCCTGAAATCCTTGCTGACTAAGTTGCTGAAAGCATCGATTGAGCCCTGTGCGTCTAGAAACATACGCCAGGTGCAAATACAATCTTTGTTTTGTCCAAAAGAATTTCAGGCAAGCAGGACACGTCTCTCCTACGAGGAATTTATGCTCTGGCGCAAACTGCTGATGTTTCTGCCGTTGGTGGCAAGCTAATCCTTGCTGACTGGAAAAACTCTTGCCGCAATGGCATTGGAACTCCTGTCTCGTATGGTCTGATGCCGAAAACGGTGAGGGCAAGAAGGCACCTCCATGTTGCTCGAAAACTTTGAAAAAAGTCTTGTGTAGAGAAAACAAGCTATTAGTCATGTTTTCTTGCATGAGGAACCGAGACCATGCTCTTTTCACTCGCACTCGCCATTGGCGATTCCCTGATTGCCAGAAATCAAAGACATGAGTCAGATCATTGCACGAACCAAGCCAAGGAAGCAAATCAGGCTCAAGCTGGTGCAGCCAAGCAAGGTCATGTTTCAATCCGAAAAGCCAGGAATCTGTGCGCAGACCTTCTTCAATA